AGAGAAACAAGAAAAAAAAAGAGAATTTAAAAAAAGCAGCGACCTTCTGGTGATTTCTGTGCGCCTGGTATCTCAGACTTGAATTTAACGGTTTTCTGCCATTTGAGCGGTGGAAAGTGGAGGCAGAAAATGGGAAAAATGAGAGCGACGAAAGAGAGCAACGAAATACAAAGAGAAACAAGAAAAAAGAGAATTTAAAAAAAGCAGCGACCTTCTGCTGATTTCTGTGCGCCTGGTATCTCAGATTTGAATTCAACGGTTTTCTGCCATTTGAGCGGTGGAAAGTGGAGGCAGAAAATGGGAAAAATGAGAGCGACGAAAGAGAGCAACGAAATACAAAGAGAAACAAGAAAAAAGAGAATTTAAAAAAAGCAGCGACCTTCTGCTGATTTCTGTGCGCCGGATCTCAGATTTGATTCAACGGTTCTGTCTTGGGTGTGGAAGTGGAGGCAGAAAATGGGAAAATGAGAGCGACAAAGAGGAACAAATACAATGAGAAACAAGAAAAAAGAGAATTTAAAAAAAGCAGCGACCTTCTGCTGATTTCTGTGCGCCTGGTATCTCAGATTTGAATTCAACGGTTTTCTGCCATTTGAGCGGTGGAAAGTAGAGGCAGAAAATGAGAAAAATGAAAGCGAAGAAAGAGAGCAACGAAATACAAAGAGAAACAAGAAAAAAAGAGAATTTAAAAAAAGCAGCGACCTTCTGCTGATTTCTGTGCGCCTGGTATCTCAGATTTGAATTCAACGGTTTTCTGCCATTGGGGTGGTGGAAAGTGGAGGCAGAAAATGGGAAAATGAGAGCGATGAAAGAGAGCAACGAAATACAAAGAGAAACAAGAAAAAAAAGAATTTAAAAAAAGCAGCGACCTTCTGCTGATTTCTGTGCGCCTGGTATCTCAGATTTGAATTCAACGGTTTTCTGCCATTGGAGTGGTGGAAATTGGAGGCAGAAAATGGGAAAAATGTGAGCGAAGAAAGAGAGCAACGAAATACAAAGAGAAACAAGAAAAAAAAAGAATTTAAAAAAAGCAGGGACCTTCTGCTGATTTCTGTGCGCCTGGTATCTCAGATTTGAATTTAACGGTTTTCTGCCATTTGAGCGGTGGAAAGTGGAGGCAGAAAATGGGAAAAATGAGAGCGAAGAAAGAGAGCAACGAAATACAAAGAGAAACAAGAAAAAAAAGGGAATTTAAACAAAGCAGCGACCTTCTGCTGATTTCTGTGCGCCTGGTATCTTAGATATGAATTCAACGGTTTTCTGCCATTGTGGTGGTGGAAAGTGGAGGCAGAAAATGGGAAAATGAGAGCGATGAAAGAGAGCAACGAAATACAAAGAGAAACAAGAAAAAAAAGAATTTAAAAAAAGCAGCGACCTTCTGCTGATTTCTGTGCGCCTGGTATCTCAGATTTGAATTCAACGGTTTTCTGCCATTGGAGTGGTGGAAATTGGAGGCAGAAAATGGGAAAAATGAGAGCGAAGAAAGAGAGCAACGAAATACAAAGAGAAACAAGAAAAAAGAGAATTTAAAAAAAGCAGCGACCTTCTGCTTATTTCTGTGCGCCTGGTATCTCAGATTTGAATTTAACGGTTTTCTGCGTTTGAGCGGTGGAAAGTGGAGGCAGAAAATGGGAAAAATGAGAGCGAAGAAAGAGAGCAACGAAATACAAAGAGAAACAAGAAAAAAAGAGAATTTAAAAAAAGCAGCGACCTTCTGCTGATTTCTGTGCGCCTGGTATCTCAGATTTGAATTTAACGGTTTTCTGCCATTTGAACGGTGGAAAGTGGAGGCAGAAAATGAGAAAAATGAGAGCGAAGAAAGAGAGCAACGAAATACAAAGAGAAACAAGAAAAAAAGAGAATTTAAAAAAAGCAGCGACCTTCTGCTGATTTCTGTGCGCCTGGTATCTCAGCTTTGAATTTAACGGTTTTCTGCCATTGGAGTGGTGGAAAGTGGAGGCAGAAAATGAGAGAAATTATATCGAAAAAAGAGAGCAACGAAATAAAAAAAAGAAGAAAGAAAAAACGAGAAAATTAAAAAATCCAGCGACTTTCTGCTGATTTCTGTTCGCCTGGTATCTCAGATTTGAATTTAACGGTTTTCTGCGGGAAAAAAGGGGGGCAGAGAAATTAGATCGAAAAAACAACTGAAATTAATTTCTTCATTCTGGCTATAATTATGATCCGATATGGTCATGTGGTGGTGTGAAACACGGCTAAATATATTTCAAATAAAAAGAAGAAGAAAAACGACCGGGGTCCCTCTAAACTTAATATTTACTTTTAAATAGCTGCGATTGAGACAAATTCCATATGCAATGGCTGTTTATTGGATGTTTTTGTTATATTGAATATTAATGATACAAATTCGATAAAGAAAAGTTTTGTGTGGCAGTCATCTGCGCGTAGCTGATGTCCATTATGGAGCTCACCAAATCGTCTTTAATGATACGCATGGCAGGCTGTCACGTATTTTGTCACTGTTCACCTCATAAATGTTTGCTACTTGCATGATATCGAACCCGAATGTATTAAATAAATCCATGCCGAAAAGATTTGTTGACGTTTGCCTGTTTGCTACAATGATTACCACATCCCCTAGCAGTGGTATTGCTTTTTGATCACGGAGGCTGTCGCTCCTGAGTCCATTTGTACGTGCTTCATCTCTCTCTTGTGGAACTCGTAGCGTTCCAAATATGACTCACAATAGATATAGATTGACCATTTATTATATATAGTTGCCAGATGATGATATGATATAATGCGTTAGGTAATTTTAGGTAATAACAGTTTTCGTTCTCCAGGAGGGCGCTCGGATGGAACCAGCTCGATATCCTTGTCATCCAGGCATCGCCGGCACGTGCCACGTCGCCCTGCTACTTGGCAAGTGCCTGCTTCCGTTCTACCTGTGTTGTACTGTCAGCCGTTTATTTAGTAAGTTTCTCAATCCGATATTTTCCAAAATAAATGTAGGTGTCACCGAGCTTGTAAACATCAGGCTGGTCGACATGCCAGATTTCATTTTTCCCCTGCATGGTCACGCGTTTGACGTCCTCCACGGGCTTCAGGCCGTGCTTCATGAGCAGGCGGCGGGCCTTCTTCTCGGCGCGCGACTTCTCGGGCACTTTATTTAAGACTTGGGTAAGCCTGTCCGATCTCTGCCAATCTTCTTCTGCCCATCTTTTCCTGTACATCTGCTCAAACAGCCTATTGATGAAATTGTTCTTCGGAACCGAAAGAAATGCCCAGCCCAGGCCATCGGAATCCGGCTCTTCATCAGTCAAAGTCTCGGAGACAGTCTCCTCCGCATTGCTCCTCTCGACAGCAGCTGCTTCGCCAGATGAAGAGGCAGCTGTGGCCTCTTCTTTTGGGGTTTCCATCTCGGTTTTCAGTTTTATGTGAAATTTAGAATTAAATTGGTAATTTTTCTAGAGATATTGACCCGTGAACAGAAGAACAGAACAATCCACAGTGAAAAAAGGAAGAACAAAGGCTAGGAAAACTTTCACACTGTCAAATTGTCAGAGCTTTAACATTGTACAGTAACTGTGTGTTTCCCCACTGAACTGTAATAGCCTTTTCACACTGGGCTATCGATATCGGAATAGACGCAAAGATCAAGAAAAGGCGTTCACATTGGCAGGCGTGCGTCTTTAATTTTGATTTGGGTGCTTGATGACAAGGAAAGTAAAGAAATTTTGGGAAATGAACAAAATTATGCAAGACGACAAGAAAATTGACGAAAGAGAATTGATTCTCATATTTATTTATTATTTTCAGACATTTCTTTGTAGAGTTTGTGGGAGTTCTTCTTGAAATTATGACAACCATCGAAGTTCGTCTCCAGCAGTGTCTTAATGGCATCAGGGGGTCACAAAATGTCTTATGATAATAATACAATCAGATTCAAATATTTTATTTAATGATTTTATGTATACTTTTACCTTTTTGCACAACCATACATTTTTAGCGCTAAAATTTAATCTAGATGTTTTTGTTGTTATTAGTGTTGATAGTTGCGCTGATAGTCAGAAAAGTGCAAAAATGTGCTGTTAAGCGCAAAAGCAACCGAATGATTCGAATAGACGCACATTCATCAGATAGCGACGCAACTTCTTGCCACCACTAGGGCCCTATCCTTAACCTATGTAAAAAAGACTGCGTCTCCGGCAAGACGCAACGAAGCATGACGCAGCCCCAGTGTAAGCAGCCTATACCTGTGATTTTCCAGTAAATTAGAATTGAATAAATCTATTCTGCAAATATCTTATATAAAATATAATTGAAATCAAAATAATTGGAAAAATATATGGTAGCGATCTTGATTTAAGCCTAGTACTCAGATCCAAAAACTTTTTGCTAGCAAAAATATTTCATATATTCTCCTAGCAGCCAGTGGTGTGACCAGAGGACAGCTGATTGGTTTTGTTTAAAGTAAGCAAAGTTAATGGCCCAGGCATATCCTGGGCTCCCCAATATTTTATTGCCAAAGGAATGTCTCTGGCTATGGCGGCCGACCACCCTGAAGAAAACATGTTTTAAAAACAATACGAATACCAGTAAATACCATCGGATACTTTTCTAGAAAACTGTTTGTGCCCGAAAAAAGTTCCGATCGGTTACATACGAATATCAACCCTGATTCTGTTTGCGAGCTGTTTTTTCGGATCTGATTACTAACTAGGCTTAACTTTTGATTTCATTGCTCAGGTTATATCCCCACAGAGTTGCACTAGAACGAATGAGCCGCAATGAAACAAAAGATAATTCCGATATTTCTATCGATATGCTGAATGTATTCACAAATTTGTGTGATGTTTCTTTATTTATAAATAAGAACCTATTCTTTGAACTGTTATTAATTTTTAATTTCTAATTCGAATTGTTAGCTATATGTAGCGATATATTTTAATTAAATAAACAACTCGCTCTGGGAGTATTTGGTGTTAAATTTCGCTGTACTAAATATGTCTTCTTTATAAATGGTTTTTGTATTTATTGCTACATTTATCATACTCGTAAAATTAAATATTTACTCATAATTTCTGATATACGCACTATGCAACTATCTTTTGTCTGCCTCTACTTAGAGCCTAACTAAACTGATTATCCTTTGAGGTAATAATGCTGACACGATCGTTAATGTGGTAGTACCACATTGGGTCGTGCCTTTGGCTAATTGGTATACTTGAGGGCATCGTAGTAGCCACCGCCACCACCACCGCCATTGACTGCCACCGATGTGGGGGGCGGAGTTATGGGCGGCAGGTAAACCGGTTTGCGATCAATGGGCGAGTGTTCGATTACATGGTTACCCGACTGCGATGGCGGTGGCGTCATGGATCCATGATGATGATGGTGATGATGCTGGTGCTGATGGTGGTGCTGCGCCTGCGCCTGAGCATGGGCCTGCGCCTGAGCGTGCTGGATGGTGGACAGGCCGGGAAGCTGCTGTAGCGATAGGGAGCGGAGACCTGCCGGAGAGAAAACCGATTAAAGTGGGAAAGTCTTTTTTTATGGACAAGCGCTAAAATTCACACTGCGTCGCGACGGCGGCGGCAACTATAAAACGGCAGCAAAAAGTCCATCAAATGAGCCAGATGGGGAGGCGAGGACCGCGAGGGATGGGATAGATTACCATATGTTGTCTCCTCCATCCATCCAAACCGACGTCAAGGCGGTAATCCGAGATCCGAGATATGAACCGTCAGCAATTATATTACCCTGATTGACGCGAACACCCAGGCACTGTGCCTGCCCTCTACCCTTTGAGGGCTGCCCAGATCTGCGCCCTAATCTCCGACAGTTGCACTCACCGTTATCCAAGGCACTGCCACTTGTTGCATAGGAATAGCCCGCAGCCACGAGACTGGCGGCTGGCGCATAATCACTTTGAAGCGCCGCCACAGATCCAGCTGGAGAGGAGCCTGGCCCGGAGCTCATACCGAGGGCAGAGTGGGCCATTGGTGGGGTGGAAGATCCATTCAAATTGTTGCCCCCCGTCAGGCAGGAGATGTTCGAGTACTGGGGCAGACCGCCAACGCCCACACCCGGGGAGCCACTGTGGGCGGCATGCACATTCCAGGCATCGCCGAAACCTTGAGGGGCAGCCGGAGAGACGCCATTGGGGCCAGGACTGTAGTCATAGCTGGCATAGGCAGACGAGGCATAGAAGTTGGCATTGTCCTGCAGGAGAATCGAGAGAGTGAGAGAGTTAGGGAGGATCTGGGAGGAGGAGTGTCTGCCAGTACTCACCATTCCCGCATCTCCATAGCTGCCGGCGTAGAAGCCATTCGCATGACCTGCATACGACTTGACCTTGATCTTGGAGCGATATCCACGCGGACGACGCCTCAGGCTACCCTCGTCCTCGAACAAGTGGGCCGAGTTCTCATCGATTGTCCAGTAGTTGCCTTTTCCTGGCTTTCCGACGCCCATGCCCTTGGGCAGCTTCTTGAAGCACTCGTTCAGGCTGAGATTATGACGCACCGAGTTCTTCCATCCGACGTAGGGTCCGTTGAAGAACTCGTAGCTGCCGAAAGACAAAAGTAAAGTTGATAATCGGCCGTTTATTTATTTGGCTGTGCTGGCAAAAACCCAATTAAAAATTCTGATTTCGTTAGGGGACCCTTGCAACACCCCTGCAATACCCGGCAACAGTAACAGCAACAATCAAACGATGTCAGCTTAAAAGCCTCTCACGCATGTCGTCGTGGTCGTCTCCTCTCCTCTCCCTCTCCCTCCGTCCCCTGCCAGTCGGACAAAGCTCAAGTGGATTTCCGTCTCGTCGCCGAAATCGCAATCGAAATCAAAATCCAAACACGCCGCCAGAAATACGAGATACTCGTATCTGAAGGATGCGCATTGGAGCCACGAGGGGCAAGCGGAGAATCGGGACTTGGGAAGGGAATCGGTTGACTAAATAAAATCGGTTGCAAGTAAATAAACCCCCAGCGACATTGATCGTCTCTGTATGTGTCTGCTGCTCGGGGATCCGCGTTCCCAGTGTCGATATCGCCAATAGACTCCGCCATTCCCCAGTCCCCAGTCCGCAGTCCCCATCTTTGGTTCTATGTATATTTCCACATACATGTCTCCGTGTGCCGGCGCGTGTTATTCGAGAGCTTGAGAAAGCAGTGACAGGCCGGCTATGGTATTTGTTACTTGGAAGAGACTCTAAGCTTCTAAGAGTCACTTAAAGAAGAAGGCACTCGCTGATTTGAGCGGTACTATTGCTCTAGATGCTTGGATCTGCAATAAACACTGTCTTCCGCATATTTTATACACGCATTTATGCCACAAATCGAACAATCCTTAAGATATTTGAACAATCAGATATAGCTCTAGTGGCTGCTCTGTTCTAAGGCCTATCGAATGGCCTGCCCCTATTCCCCATAGCTTACCTCTTCTGCAAGTACCCATAGATCTCCGAGAGTGTAAGCTTTCCCGAGGGCGACTCCTTGATGGCATGTCCAATCATATTGATGTAACTCAGAGCAGGTTTCTCCGGACGACGAGTTCCGGACTTCTTAGTGGTATCCGGTGTGACTATATCTTGGGTTTTCGCACCGCCCGATTTGCCCTGTGAACTCTGACTGGAGGCTGGTGCTGGTGGCGAGGAATCAGAGCCATTGAGCGACTTGGCTGGCGAGGAGCTGGCGCTGGAGTAGTTCCGAACGGACAACCCGTGCGCATTGGTGATGACCTGCGTGGGCGAGGCAGAGATTCGTGGCATGTAGACACCACCTGGTGGCGAGTGCTGCTCCTGATGCTCGTGATGCTCATGATGCTCTTGGTGCTGCTGTTGCTGTTGCTGCTGCTGCTGTGGGTGGTGGTGGTGCTGCAACTGTGGCTGTGGATCCACCTCGTGGCTGGTCAGCAGCTGGTAATCATTGGCACTGAGGATGGTGTTGTTCGAACAGTACTTAATGGTCGAGGTGTACTGGTGGTTCATCGGCTGCAGTTGCAGCTGCAACGGCGGCGCCTTCACCGACGAGGAGCTCACGTACTGCATCTCCTGATCCGTGGGCGTCTTCGAGCTGGAATTCGGCGACACGGAACCCGCAGAATGGGAGTGGGCCGTCATCAGTGCACCGTATGGGGGAATGGGACTCGACGAAGCCGGCGGCGTTCCCATGCTGTGCAGCGCATTCAGGCTGTAGTGCTGGGAGGTGGGCGTGGCCATGCCACTGGCATCCATATAGTACTTGCGCTCCATATACTCGATATTTGGCTTCTCATCGATCATCTCCGTGGGCGACTCCCCGCCGCCGCCGACCATGCCCGTCTGATAGCCACCGCCGGGGGGCAGCAGATTTCCCGTGCGATACAGATGCACGGAATGGCTGGGAGGATGTGAATGGTGCGGATGTGGGTGGGTGAATGCATGCTGGTGGTAGTAGGAGCCGGAGACGGAGCCGGAGCCATCACCACCCAGCTGGTCCACACTCATGGCCGAGCGACCATTCAGATCGGACACTTCTTCACTTTTTATCATTTTTCTTTCTCTTTCTCTTTCCTAAAAACTTTGAGTACCAAAAGATCTTTTCGATCACACGCGAGAGATCTTTGCTTTATTTTCGATGTGTCCACCGATCTACCGATCCGTGTGTGTTCCGTTAAATGTACCGCTCGCTTTGGCTCTGTTCGGTCGAGTGAATGCAGCGCAGCGCCTCGCATCCAACTGCTCTGCTGGCGCTCCCTCCTGGCTGGACGCCACTTGAACGGAATTCTTTTTTTAGTTGCGCAAAGCAAACGCTCTCTCGTGGGTCTCTCTCTCACTCTCTATCTGAAGCGCTCTCTCTCTCTCTCTCTCTCTCTCTGTCTGTCTGTTTGTATGTTTCTTACTCTGCTCTCTGGCTGCCAATTGGTGGCGATGGGTGTAGGGAATTTTCAATGCTTGCAGCTCTGCGTCTTTGGTTATTGGAGAGCGAGCGGCACTGGTATGCTCAAGGTATCTGGCAACTTAAATGGAAATCCAGGTTATCCAATAGGATCGTCCAAAGGAAAATCAACTCCAGTTTCTGATATTTCTTCCACTTCTACTGTAGAAAAGTTAATCCACGGAAACCTCTTATTGCTTATTCATTTCCGATCAAATACCTTGAGTTTCTACTCCCCGCTGTGTGCGGTTTGTGCAGTCAACAGTTAATAAATAGTCGGGGAAAACCCAGAGATGCCCCGGAATATATATCGAACAACCGAAAACTGAATTGGTCTACGGATTTCGAGGAAAAGGAAGCCGCAGTGGCTGGTGGCTGGTGGCGGCGGCATTCGAAACGAGCTGTTAATTGATTTAGTCGTTCTGTGTTCTCCATTCTCCATTCTACTGGATCACGGGACGTACGGCAGCACCTCACTCCCTCCCCTGCCGTGAGTGCCGCCATTGCTGTCAGCACTACGCCGACGCGACCGTGAGATGGCGACGTTCTGCCTCTTGGAGAGAGAGAGAGGAAGAGAGCGAGCGAGCGAGAGCAACGTTTCAATTCATTCCCCAAAATACAAACGAAAAAAAAAACCCCAAAGAGATACAGCGAGCGAGCGCACACGGGGCGGCACACGCACAAAGATACAGATACATTTTGTGGCCGCTGGCGGTGGATAGTGGGAGAGAGACACACGGAGGCGGAGTTTTGTTTATATTTTACGAAATTCTATTTGTCGAAGGCAATCAGATTGAGAAAATCGCAGGGAGGGTGGGGGAATTCGGCATGGAAAATTCATGCCGTTCGGATTCTACTTTTATTTTCTGCCCCCCTGAAAGATATTTTAATCTCTTTGGCTTTTTGGCAAATACTCGCATAACCAAGCCACTCGCCATTTTCCATGAATTTCCCATAACAATTTCCGAGTTTTTCCAGCTCTTTCAGTGAGTAAAGATATTTTTTACTTTTCTCCATTTTTCCTGCGGTTTTGGCGGCCATAAATTAATTTTACTCTTGATTATTATTATTTCTACTTATTGTTCGCTTTTCTTTTCGTTTTCGTTTTCTTTTCTTTTTCTTTTATTTTGTTGCCTGCTGTTTTCGTTGCAGGAATTTATCGTCGAGTGAGGAATAAATTAAACAGGCCCCAATAGAGCATGGACCCTGAACTGCTGCTCGAAATTATTAATTGCTTTGGATACCCAGAAAATCAATGGATGATCAATGGGATGATCGTAATTATGGGTACAATCTGTTATTGTAATTCCAAGAAAGGTGTTAACTATATGCTAGATAATGTATCAAGTGATAACTCAAATAGAAATTTTATTCGAAAGTTTTTTAGAAAACATTTTGGACATCTTTCCTCTTGCTTTCAGCTTGGCTCCTTCCATCTGATCAGCCCTGTGATGATTCAGTCAGGCAGTAATTTGGTCAAAAATATCTTTATAAATAGCTAAAAATTTCGCACAAAATGTTTCTAGCCGGACACGGCATCCCTGTCAGGTTTTATTTTTGCATTTCCCTGTACGACATCTTGTCTTTATGGGGGATTATTTATAGCCGCCTGATTGCTGCTGTAAGGCGTTCAGCCAATGCACTGACCAAGCGGCCACACATCGCGCTCCATGTGCGTCACCCGTAACTGGGTCAACAGTTCCGTTCCTGCCAACATATTCGATTCCGATCAAGTAGCCAATCGCGCACATAGAGTCGATATCGATCCACATATCACATCTGCTCCTAGAGTCGGCCCAGAGTGAGATCCTCTTCAGAGGAATACCCATACCATACCCACCGCCATAGTCATAATAAACATAGCCCAAGGGAATTCCCAAACAAAAGCCGTCATCATTCCACATTGTTGTTTCGTTTCGTTTCGTTTTTCAAGTTCAGATAATCATAATAAAGCGATAAGTCTGCATAGATTGGAAGATCGGTCGATGCTATGTGGTATGGTGTGGTATGGCCTCTTAATTTTTAATGTTAATGTTATTAAATGGTCGAAAAATTGTTTACTACTATGCCGATGTTTGTAAACAAAATTATGTATACGACGTGTTGCCGTGTTGCCTCCTCTAAAGAGTACAACTACAATCGAATATCAACCCATACACCATATCCAATCCCCATTGATGCCCCCAATCTCTCTCTCTCTAGCTCTCTCTCTCTCTGCTCCAGTTTGCATCTCTCTGGCATTGTTTAAACTGTAGTTTTAATAAACATTTAACAATTAAACGCTGTACTCTAAACACACAACCTCATAGAACCACCACCGCCACAGCTACAGCCACAGCCACAGCCATGACCATCTTTTGTATATACTCGTAGCAGCAGAAGGAGCCGCATTTGGATTTGTTTTTGCACACTGACCTACAACAACTGGTAAGAGCAACCAATTGCACCCAAATGCGATCGGATCCCATTCCCGATCCCCAATCTACCACGCCCACTGATTATTAAACAGTTTGTCCGCCTTTCGTTTGCGGACAATAAATAATCAAACAGTCCAGACCAAAGATCGCTGGAAAGAGAGAGAGAGAGAGAGAGAGATAGATATGTGGTATGTACACTTGGAAAAAAGGGATATACATTAGGGAAATATTAAAATGAGATTTATGCAACTTCTAAATATTCAGTGGATATTTTTAATCTATATTTTATTCATTAAAATTATCGATATGTTCAAATTAAAAAAGGAACCCTTTTTTCGTTGTGTATCTCGCAACGAGAAATTTCAAAATATTTATACAAGAGTTGCTGCCCCGAAAATTATGCCGTCTAGTTAAACTTCTATCCATCTGCCATTCCCCACTGCCTCTGCAGCGCCAGCCACTGGCTGACCAACATTTTGTTTAAATATTTACATACTCGTGTGTTGTGTGCAATTTGTTGCTTAGAACTCACTCAAAATTATTCCAATCTCTGATCCCATTATATGATTCCCTTCCCGCTCTCTCGCTCTCTATGTCTCAGAGTTTTGATCACGATCACGTGTTGTTTGGCCGAAAGAAAAAAAAACCCGAAATGAAATACACAAACAGAATATTATTTTCTTTCCTATTTTTTTTTTCTTTTTTGATTTAACTATAAACCTCTTAAGTTGTTATTGTTGTTTCCCACGACTTTGCTTGCGTGTTTTTGTAAATATTTATGCGATTCCAACGCTCAATTCCCCATTAAACGGGAGCAGTTCAGTTCTGTCACTTTGAGTGGTTCCCGGATATCGTTCGCATCGTTGCGGTTGACAAACTTTTGTGGGCGGTATTTACCAGGGGATTGGTTGGTGGCAAGTTTTTACAGGTAAACAGACTACGAATAGATACGGATGCATCTGCCCCAACTGTGTTTCCTTTGATGGAAATGGTCTTAAAATGAAACTTTGATCATTTTCGGCATTTGGAACAGGATTCAAACTCTTCAGTTATTAAAAATTAATCATTAAAATGAGAGTCAAGAGACTAAAAGTTTAAATATTTAAATATTTCAAGTACTTTTACACACCTTGATAAATAATGTTACGAGTATGTATTTTAAAAACTAATAAAATTACCAAATCTTATCATTAAAAGGAAAATTCCTTGCATTCATTTGCATTTACTGCTACCAGACCTCGGGGATCTTTCCATCTTGTGCCTCCTGTTGTGACCCAACGATTGCAACACTTTTGGCACTTCTCTGGGTGGGGCCATAAACACCTTTGCCGCTGTGATATGTCTATGTGTCTGCGTGTGTGTGTGTGCGTGTGTGTGTGGCCAAGATGGCCGATGCCTTGCGCAAGATGGCCAAGAATCTGCCGTTTTGTCGATGCCATTGCCAAACTATGAAAACTATGGCAGCTATCGTAAAAGTTCAGATGCCATTACCTTCCCTTCCCTTCACTGTCTCCACCCCGGCTGTACCTCCTCCTTCCCTGCTGTATGCCCTCCCTCCCTACAACCCTCTCTCTATTGGCGCTTTGCGCCATTCAACTGTCGAAGCGGGCGCAATAAAATTGAACAATTTATAGACTTGCGATCCATTTTGGTGCGCAATAATTGCGCCAAATGTACAAAAATTAAGAAAAAGAACAAAAAAACAAAAAGGAATCCAAAGAAAATAAGAGAGAGAGAGAGATGAAAAAAGTATGGAACTTTGTATAGGAAGCAAAGTTTTTGGTTGGGAGCACAGGCAAGGCACTCAATCGATCGACAATCCGATCCTCACACAAAAGCCATTTCCACTTTGGGGCTCGATGCCGATTGTTGTTTAGCTTTTAGTTTAATAGCCGGTACTTAAGAATGCGTTGACTCACTCGGATCGGAAGGATCGGAAGGGGCAGGCAGAGCGACACAGCAAACAGATACAGAAACATCTGATACTGGGCACTGGCAGGGAATTTACTTGCTTTTCATCGATTCCGCAACGTTGGCAGTAATTAATCTTTTGGCTTAAGCACTCTCTTGCCAAATTGGACGGAAGCAGCAGCAGCCCCCATTGCTGATTATGTGATAAATGCCCAAGAGATCGGCCGAACTGCGGATTCCTTCGATTGGATTGGCATCTGTTTCGTCTCTTTTGACGCTCATTGTCGTCATTTCATTGGCTCTGTGTGCTCCTCCCTCGCGTTCGTGTCGTTCGCTTTTCTCTTTGTTCTTCTTCCAGGCCTTTTGTAGATTCTCCTTCCCTCTCCACCCATTCCCCACCCTTTTATCCGCTTTGTGGGTGTATTTTTTATGGGTCTTGGTCTCTGGCCTTCGAGGGCAGCGCACCTGTGGGGCCTAAAAATATCCGTTGATCCGAGTTGAGGGTGAAACATGCTCGGGCCAGCATTGAAATGTCATGATGATACGTGGAACTTGACAGTCGAATGCTGAATCTTTGGGCAAAACGAATTTTCATAGAAAGTTAGCAGAATATAAATGTGGTCTTTACTCGATTGCCTACTGATCAGAATATCATGGAAACAATCGTTGTCACAAATAGTCTCCCAACAAGATTGATTCATTTCAAAGGTCACTTTTCCTGTCTGTCCAAAGAATATCTCGACCCCCATGGACAAACCAAATCGTAGATCTCTCCCCTGACAACTAATCATCACACGATCATTAGTGAACCGAAAAACCAGATCGGTTGCCCACACCAATATCATGTTCAAGTGGAGAGGTTTCAACGGCACCGACCCCCAGGAGAAAAGCCAAACCAAAACCAATGGAAAACCAAAAATAAATGTAAATTTCTCTATGGTTTAATCGACGGCGACATCCTGACGCAGCAGCACCCTAATTATCCACACCATAAATCGAACCAATTGACGACAAATATTTTGACATGGCGCCAGGCCGCGGCCTGGACTTTTCGCCCACTCCACATGCATCATGCCTGGGACATCTTCAAGGCTAATGTGTGGTCGGCACTTGAGAAGTAGTCGGTAGCCCGTACCCAATGGGGAATCTGTAACCCAAAACCCGAAAACGCAAACATAGCAACATTTCGAAGGGAAAGGAGACACACACACATGTACGTCAACTGAAACACACACACACACATCGTTGTGGCAAAATTTCAATCAAAATTCCAGTATAATGCCCTGATGTCGACCCGCAGGACCAAGTCCAAGAAGGGCAACAAGAAGGACTGTTGCCAGGATTCGTGAAAGCAGCAGGACTGCTGCCCCAAGCAGGATTGTTGCCCAAAGCAGGACTGCTGTCCCAAGCCAGATTGCTGCCAGGATCAGTGCAAGAAAGATGCGTCCCAGAAAGACTGCTTAGAGGATACGTGTAAAAAGCAGAGTTGCTGCGATCAGGATCCGTGCAACAAAAACGGTGGCAAGGGCGGCAAGAAGGGCTGGTTTGGATAGTACCTAAGACCCAGCAAAATCCAAATCTTGGACAAAATCATTAGCAATAAAATATAAATAACCACAAATATTTGTGTACTAAGCCACCGAATGTTCGGAAAGATCTTTGATAACCTCATTTTCCCCGATGCATTTCGAACATTTTGCCAACCAAATGAGGCCGCAAAATCGTAAAAGAAAAGCGTCTAATCTCTGCAACTAAAATTAGCCGCTTCGATCTGTTTACATTGGAAAAAAAAGTAATAATTACCCAAAAAAAAAGAGAAGAGCAAGAAACGAGAGTTTCCCATATATTACAACGATCAATCGCATTGGAAAATCCAAGGCAATGGAAAATCGGAAAAATCAGGCGGTAGCTGAAAAAAAAACCATTTTCTATTCCATTCCCAACTATTGAGCCGACAAGTACGACGCGACCCGTGCCCGTGAGGGTGGGGGATTTTATTTTATCCGTTGTTTACATTAAGCCAAGGAAAGGAAAAAAAACCAAAAATAAAGATCTTACACGGCCAGAGCCATACGGCTGCAACCTGCCCCGCGACGAAACGGTGGACGGGGCAGAGGCAGCAGCAGCAGGAAACAAAAGTCAGTGCCAGTGCAATTGAATTGCCATAAAAATCGTCGGAAGAAGGGGGAAAACGAGTGCAAGAGATGGGGTTTATGGACCATCGAAGCATCCCAAAGCATCCACTAACCAATCCACCCACCCACCTTCAGGCGGGAAATTTATGGATTCCCCCGGTTTCTGAACTTTTGTCGTGAAATTGGGAACCAGAAGTTCTCGCACTGAGACCTGAGAAATCGCAGTCGTTTGCGGGGGCTCTGTTTGAAGCACCTGCTAGATGATACAATGCAGTTATTCCCCAGAATAATGCAACAATCATTATAATCATTTTCCCAAAATGAGCTTCTGTATTTCTCAATATTGTTCACTTTAAATTTTGATGATTCTCCGCTTCGACTTGGTGGGGCTCGGCCTCTGGGACTCTCGTATGGTAGGTCGGCGTAGAGTTAGAGACATCGTAAACTGCCCATGGAAATTCAGTTTTATCACTTGTCTATGTAGTGCCTGCTCCCTCCCCGCCGGTTTTGGGCTATTTTTGCTGTGATTTTAGTTGTTGCTTTATGGCTTTATAATGTCTGTGCGCGTTCCGTTTTATGATCTTGCTGTTAAACGGGGCCCCGGCAACAGTATGGCAATCCATTCTTCGGACATCTTCTTCGGCTTTTCGGGGGAAACGGTTTTCTCTCTGCTAGACAAAAATGATAGATCAAACTCTACTCGCAGAAAGATTATGCATTAAAATAAAATACCTTCTATCGTTTGGGTTCCTTGTCTTCAAACACATTGGTATTTTCATCCTTTTCATCCTGAAACCCCTTGCTCTTGTTCAAGAGCTTGCTGAAGAGACCAATGCCATGTCCATTGGACACACGATGCCTGAGGATAAGCAGAGTACTTTTGGATAGCAGCAGGAACATAGCGAGAGAGAGCCAGAAAAAATCCAAATATTGTTACCTCAACGAGGAGAGCCGAGCTTGAATTTTTGTGTTACTGCTAATTTTTTTTCGATTTCGGAAATGTAAGTTTGTTTCGCTTGGCCTTCTGAGATGACACTAGTTTCGTCTCTCCGATTTGTTTGAAGTTTTTTTTAGATTTTTCCAGTTTTACTTTTTGCCTCCAGCTCCGGGCTTGCCCCCCTTGCATTTGGGACCCATGGGCTGTTTTTCTTTGGGGGTGGTGGGAGCGATAAATACGCGAATTTTGTTTGGATGGGAACTAAACTTACTTCGTCCGCATACGTCCTTGTTTTTCTTGCCGCACGGATCTTCCTTCTTCTTGCACGGGTCCGCCTTCTTCGCGCAAGGATCTTTCTTCTTGCACGGGTCCTCCTTCTTTGCGCAAGGATCTTTCTTCTTGCACGGGTCCTCTTTCTTTTTGCATGGGTCCTCTTTCTTCGCGCAAGGATCCTTCTTCTTGCACGGGTCCTCTTTCTTCTTGCAGGGATCCTCCTTCTTATTGCATTTGGCACGTTGAGCGGTCACGAAAATATCGCTAAATCTCTTGAAACTGGAAGTCAAGCGAAACATGTTGGCTCTGCGGTCAATTTAAATTTATTTACAAGACAAAAAATATTGCACGAATTTTTGTTGAAGTTTGCTTTAGCTTTAAGTCTGTAGCTCGACTGAAACTGTGAAACCAAAGCCAATGGTTGCTTTCTGCTGGGGGAAACTAAAGTTTAGTTAAGTTAGGTATTTATCAGCACGAGTACATACTGAAATTTTATTCGATTTTCCATCCCAAATATCGCTTAGCCGCTCCAACTCCATTATTTATTTTAGTGTACTTGTCGGCCCTATTGAAGGCTTTTGAAAAAGTGCCGAAAATCAATGGAATGATGCGCATTCGACGATCGACGTTCGACGGGTGATGGACGACGTAAAAAGGGAAGACGTCGGGCGGGAAGAATCCATCAATACTCTTTAAACGTTTCGCGTCTGCAGTCTGCAACTGCACTTCACTTTTGTCTGCAGAGGGATGGTGGGGGAGATGTTGAAATGGGAGGAATTCTGTTCGACCTTTCAACGGGTTGAAAAGTTTTTGAATCGCGTGCTCCCAAATTAACAGGGAAATTAATCTTCTTAATCTTGAGTTTGCCCAAAACACAACCAACACATGTGCCAAACTCTCTCACATACGTGTACATATGTATGTATGTGCGTGCGGGGGAGTGAGAATGTGAGATAAGTAGGAGAGGGAGAGAGAGAGACAGAACGATCGGATTAACTGTATATCTATTTCAAGGCCTTCCATTCCATCCATGTAATTGCCTTTGCTTTTGTTGTTCTTGTTGCTTCTTCTTTTTTTCCTCCTTCTGCTAGCTGGTGTTTTCTTTGGGCGATTGAAGTTTGGAGCGATGCCGACGTTCGTCAAATTTGTGGGCATCAACAGAAAATCAATGGAGAATACCCCACGGTCTCTACCGAAGCATTAGATACCCTAGCAGATCCGTTCCTTCCCAGCTCTATGACTCGAAATTCTTTATACATACATATGTATATAGACCCTCAAATGATTCTGGCAAACATATACTCAAAGGAATCATACTCTCTGCGAGGGTATAACAATGAGAGCAGCGACGCGAAAGGCATGCGCTTTGCATACGCCTCAGCAGGCGGGGGCGAACGACCACCCAAAGCGATGAACCTCCTGACATGTACGCCTCTCTGCCACCAGCCCAACCGCATAAATCCATATTTCTCTAGCTGGATAAATTACAACAGCAATGCAGCAGCAGTGACTGCAGCGGGTGCAGCAGAGGAAGCAGCAGCCGCAGCACAGAGCTGCAATCATTCATTCATACGGGATCGTCCCCCACTCCTTCAACCGCTGCACATTTCGTGTAAACATGTGTAAATCATGACCCGTTGATAGCCTCCGCACCCCTCATCCTCACCTTCACCCCTTCAACATGTGACGTCCCCCCGCTGGAAGTAAAACTTTTGCGCTGCGACCCCATCTTCCTGCCCCTCTCTGTCCGTATATCTTCGTGTTTAGATTAATTGTTGGCTATCCCACCCCCACCCACGATCCCCTTTCCAGACACTCTTTCGATACGTTCGATCTTTGATTAGATCCCAAATGCAACTGCAAACATTTGGCCGCCCAGAAACCGCCAAATCATAATTTGAATGGAGTCGCGTCCCAAAAGCAAATATTATTTATGCCGGGCCCTGAGAACTTTTTCAGAGGCATGCATGCATATTGTGGGGGAAAGGGAAAGGGCAGAAACACAATTTTGGTTGTTTGTTTTTCCTTGAAACGTAATAACAATAAACTGGGGGCATGGCAAAGGGCATATTTGGAATAATGCAATGTGTCTGCCACACAGCCAATGGTGATTATCATGTTTGGCAGCCAAATATTTTTCTTTGCAAATTTTTAAATTTTACCGCCTAAGCAGATCTTATGCTGACGTCACGACCAAAATAAATATCGACTAGAACTGTTAAACTATCGATAATTTGCTGAGGGCTTATACCTTCAGCGCAAACAGGAGTCCGGTAGAGCGTTTTGAGTGCTCTCTTTCTTCCCCGAATTTCATTGGTTAAAATTTGAAATCAAAACCGTCATGGTGTGTTAATCGATGCAATGATCGATTTTATAATCATCTTGCAGTTTATGGTATTCTTGCAGATACCAAAAGGGATCGAAATATATGTACAGGATATATTTAGCAGCTTGGATAACAGAAATTTAACATTATTGAAAGGAAATTACTCCACAATAAGTCGTAAATCTGTAACAACCGTGTAGTTACTGTGTAGGTACCGTGTAGTTACCATGTAAAAGTGGGACATTCTTTGTTTCAACCTTATTTTATAATTAATACAATAAATTGGAGTCTGATAAAATTATATTTTCAGTTGTTAAAGTCCTAACTAGCTAGTAACATTAAATCGTATATCAAAATGTATTAAATTGATTTTCCTCGGTATATTTACGGTATATTACGAAAAAGATAAGGTATATTCGGGTATATTTCTGTGGGTCAGGCGGTATATTTTATTGATAAGTCTGTGGGTCTGTCTGTCCTTCGGAAACTAGAGCTATCATACAATCGATACTATCGTAATAGTATCGGGCTCAAATAATTACTAAAAAACCATTGAAACTTTTTAGGAACTTGTCCATTGTAAAAATTAGATGCCACCTGTCGACTTGTTTACAAATTTGTCTTCGTATTTTATAGCAGTTTTTATACTGTAGCTCGATAATGTCATGATAGTCGCAAAACCGTCGATAGTAGCGGATAGCTTCAGAGCATCGATACTATCGATAGTGCCCTCGATGATTTGACACCACTAGTGATCAAGCAAACCAAACGAGCGGACAAGCTAAATTTTAATATTTAGAAATCAACGGCATTGCCGCCCTAGAATTAAATTAACAGCGGTACAAAGTGATCAGAGCCGCGACCTGCATTTGAAATTGATATTGAAAGAGCCACTTAATCTGTGACGCTTTTGTGCAAGTGTGTGTGTCTGTGAGAGAAGGAAACAAAAAAAGTGTACAGCCGACGCGCAGACGCATCTGAGAGGCGCCCAATTAAAAGTGCCAAAAACGCGAGTGAAAACTACGAAAAAATTACAGTGAAATTGTTGCCAACCTCTGGATTAAAGGCCACAGTGCGATAAAAGCAAGAAAATGGGTTGTGCCGTGAGTACAGCACGAGATAAAGAAGCCATCGAACGTTCGAAGAACATCGATCGGGCGCTACGAGCGGAGGGCGAACGTGCTGCCTCGGAGGTGAAACTGCTGCTTTTGGGTGCGTCTCTAATGTGTTATTTCCCCTTTACCAAATAATATATTACTCAGTATTCTGAAAATGCAATTAATTTCAAAGTGTTTGGTCAGAAAATGAGGCTTGGCCTGGTTTCGGTTGCTTCTCGACATGAGGCGGGGTGGGTTTTAGTGTTTTTTTTTGGCTGTGGTGAGTTTCGGGCCCAGGATATGGGAAACCCCAGACTCGGGCGGCGTCTCCATGTGTCTGCTCAACAGATTTCCCCTTTGTTCGAAATGTGGCCATTATGCAATGCACATGTCTAATAATTCGTTTGCCGATAAGGGAATTGAACGTAAATTGAAACCAAATGTCGGAGTGGAGTGGCAACTGTTACTCGGATCTCAGTTTTCATCGTCGCCGGCACGCACTTGGCTCCAACAAGTGGGGCGCCGCGCCATCGACTTGGCAACCGAAACATGTTTGTGGCTCTTTTGATCTGCGGTAGATGGTAGATGGTGGTGCGTCGAGGCCTGGCACTTGCATCGTCAGCCTGAGGTTTCGTTCCATTGAAGCGTTGCGGCGCCATCGTATCGTATCGCATTTGACCCGACCTCTGTGGCGTGAACCCCTACCACTACCGCTGCGACAACCGACACTCTACGATGCAACGAAATGAAATGCCGCGGCTCTCGTCTTAACCTTCTGCAATTAAATTTCCACAAACTCCGCTAGATGTACGCCATTGTGTGCGTTCGTACTTTTCATTTTCATTGCCATGCAATTTGGAAAACAATGGAATGACGTTTTTTCCATGCCCTGCAACAATCTTGTTGCACTATTGCCGCCTGCTGATGATTTGCTAATGAAGCGTCGCCCATGATGATGATGATGACTAAGGCATCTGTTGGGGCTTGCAGGCTTGGAGAAGTGATATTTGTGTGCTCTCGAACGATATCGAAAACACTGGGCTACATTAAATGGCTTGTGGAAAGCAGTGGAATGTTTGTGGGAACCGGTTTTGGAAAACGTGCGGAAATTTAGGGAAGCATTTCCCGACATCTTTTTAAATTTCATCCCCTCTTGGATATTTCCTATCCCCTCTTCTGCTTTCGTTACTCCTCCCCACTATTTTCAGCTGTTCTAACGCAAAACACGAACCCTGTTGCAGAGTGTTGCAGCCAGTGCTGGTTTATTTATGGGCAACAAGAAAACACCTTGCAGCACTTGCATTTTTATGCCTAACAATTGTTGCTGGCTTTATTGTATCTGTGTGGGTTGTTTTCCTTTCCAGGGAGCTGGAAAAACTTCTTAGGGCATTTTCTTTATAAACTGAAACTAATGGGATTTTTCCGATGTGTTTGTTGTTGGTGTTTTTGCTGCTGCGCTTGCGTGGTCATCCATATCTCTCTGGCCAAGGTATATTAATGTAAGGTGAGGAAGCACTCTCAGCATGGTCGCGTATTTGACTTAAGTTGTCGACACAATGAGAGCTAGCGACACTCGAGGCTTTGGAATTCCTCACCTTTTATCAATACACCTTGTCTTTGGCCTGTCACACACTCTCTCCTTTGCACAGATCTTTCTCCCACTCTCGGACCCACACACACACAAAGCATACTGGAAGCAGACTAATTGGCCAGGAGGGGGCTCTGCTGTGCTGCTGGTGGTGATGTTGTTGCTTTGTCATTTGTACTGACATTTCAAGTGGGGTGAACGATATTAGCGCAAATAAATGGCCCCGCCACCAAATGCAGCTGCTGCGATGGCAACGGCGGCTGTGGCCTGGGACTGAAACTGAACTGGCAATTGGAATTGGCAGCCCCCAACATTGCGTTTATTGTGTAAATTTAATAAAAACGCTTACTATTGTCGTGCGGGGAGTGTCTGACCAAACAACAGTTGAAGTACCACTCACTCAATTTATTGTCACTCTCCCTCTCTTTTCTCTTGCTGTAAAATTTCTTTTTTTATCTCTCACGAAAATATTCCATGTTGTGGAGAAAAAGAATGTCAATTGTTATTGTATTTTTTACGATATTTGCATTTACTTTGAAGAGAGAAACAGCGTGAGAGAGGGAGAGCGCGCTTAAGCCGCATTTGGGGCATGAGTAAGCCTTCTTATATACATTGTACACATATATATTATCCGGCCATGCATGCCACACCAATACCAAAAACACATCAGACCCCCAGACTGTCAACACAGCAACTTAATCAACAATATTTTTTAAGAATTTATATACTATAGCAGATACACTTCTGTATGTACGGTATCAATATGTTTGTGCCCCTGCCCACCCTCCTCGTATTCATTACGCTTATCAAAATTATCGCTAAACGACCTTTTACGTCAGATTCCAGTTCAATAATTGATGGAACTTTAAATTATAAAACGAAAATAAAAAGAAATTCAATGATAAGAAATATTTGCGTGAAAGTTGCTGGGTTGCCGTTACCGTTTCCGTTTTATGGCTCTATTTCATCTGATTTAATTGTTTACTTTTAAATTGTGGCTCCCCCAACTATCAGAGAATTTCAAGCTCCCCGCTGATTAACACATTTCCCTTTCCTCTTTACCAGTCTTCTCACCCGCCCCTTTGATAAGAGAGAGAGACAGAGTTCAGGCGCCATTTAACACGATTACTCATGGCGCAAAGCACTTCTTTCCGTATGATTGTTTCCCATCTTTTCGCCAGGGGTTTTAGTCACCATTTCTAGTTCTATACTACATACAAATGTACGTATATGTATGTTAAAAGAAGGTTCTCCCAGGGAGAGACTCATTATAATACCGTTTGATTATGATCATCATGCGGATGATAATGAGGTTGTAAATGAGGCTTAAGAACGCTTTGTGCTAACCGCCGTTGCTACAGCTCTCTCGTTCTCCTCTCTTTGGGTTTGCCTGCTCTCTGTGTTTGATCTTTGTGTCTCTCTCTCTCTCTCTCTGTTTCCCTTTGGTTTGGCACAGTTAACGGTGCATTTTGTTGCTAGTATTATTGAATTGACCTTTTTTTCGCCGTTCCTTTTTGTGTGGTTTTCGGTTCGTTTTTCATTCGGTGGCAAGTTTAAACATCAATTCGTAATGCCCACCATTCGTATGCAGATTGGCAAGGGCCTTCATCTACCGTTTTCTCGGCCATTAGCTTTGTATGTGTCTCTCTCTCTTGCTACCTATTTTTGGAACCCCTGTCTTAGTCCATTACTTCGCAGTCCCTCTCTTTAACGACATTTTTCTTTATGGCTAAATTAGTGCGCGTTGTTGGGATTTGGCTTAAATTAAAAATCAACTATATGATTTATTTGCAACAAAATAAAAAATAATCATAAACTACAAGTACCAACACAGCCCTGCCCTGCAAAGAAAAGCGAAAAGTGAAAGTACAGTCTGACTCTCTTACCTAACCATCAATGTATCTCTGGGAGCAGGCCCCACATTGCAGAAAAACGGCACTCAAAAAAAAAAAAAAAAAAGCTACTACAGAGACAAAAAGCTGTCTTAATGCGCCATTGTGTTGCAGCAGCAGCAATGCCCCAACATCGCATAGGTACATATATCGTTTGATAACTGAAACTGAAAGAGAGCAAAAAAAAGCCCGTAGACCACCGGTAGCCAGGGTGCCATTTTTGTTTGTTTATTTCTCACAATAATTTTATGGAAAAGGGAAACTAGAAGACACGTAACATGATTAAATTATTATTTATCCATCGAAAGCGATACACTAACTTGTGTGGTCAGCAATATTGTAAAATATCATGTTCTGAGCCTGTAAACGAAAAACATTTTACGGAACCCCAGCACACTTTTGATAATTTTCAAGAATCGCTGATGCTAGGTTGGGGTTCATTGAATTTTAGGGCTTGCCACTGAGCAGCCGATTGAGGGGAGAACTTAAGTTCTCCGTGAAAACAAAGTATAATGCAAAGTTTAAGAGTCGTAAACAATATATCAAGCTGGCTACACATATCTATATTAATCTACATAGCTGGAGGGGCTATTCATTCATTCATTTCAACATGACCAGCGCAATTAAGCGAGCTTTTTGGCCTCTTGAACCCGCTGCCAATTGAACCGCTTTTGTGGCATCGTTCCACAACGTTCCATTCATTCATAAAACTCGAGTCAGTCGGCCGGCGATGGCTTCCCTTCCGTACCCCTTCCGATTGCTATTGCCACACATTTATTGATTCATTCAGTTTTACGCGCTCAATTGTTGGCGAATGTGCGGGGCACGCCCACTGGAAAGCAGGAGATTTGCATGAGCTCACTCACATTGAACCCGTGTTTTTAATTTTGATGTTTTCCATTTGGTTTGCAGGAGCTGGAGAGTCGGGCAAGTCCACGATAGTGAAGCAAATGAAGATCATACACGAGACGGGCTACTCGCAGGAGGAGTGCGAGGAATATCGCCGCGTAGTATTCAGCAACACCGTACAGAGCCTGATGGTCATCATACGCGCCATGGGCAGGCTAAAGATTGAGTTTGCCGATCAGGGCAAGACGGACATTGCCCGCCAGTTCTTCACACACGCCTCGGCCGCCGATGAGGGCATTCTTCTGCCGGAGATTGTGCTGCTGATGAAGAAACTCTGGTCGGATGGCGGGGTGCAGCAATCATTTGCTCGCTCTCGGGAATACCAGCTCAACGACTCGGCGGGCTATTATCTGAACTCCCTGGACCGCATCGCGCAGCCCAACTACATTCCCACACAGCAGGATGTGCTGCGCACGCGTGTAAAGACCACAGGCATCATTGAGACGCATTTCTCCTGCAAGCAGCTGCATTTCAAGTGAGTTTTAAGACCCCTCTAAGACGCTAAGAATACTAATTTTAATAATAATATAATGCTTACCCTTTCACCAGACTCTTCGATGTGGGCGGCCAGCGATCGGAGCGCAAGAAGTGGATTCATTGCTTTGAGGGCGTCACGGCCATTATCTTTTGTGTGGCGCTATCTGGTAGGTTTCCCTGGACAACTATTGGCTATGGCTTCTAATTGGTTTCATTATTGATTCACAGGCTACGATCTGGTGCTGGCCGAGGATGAGGAAATGAATCGCATGATCGAGTCCCTGAAGCTGTTTGATTCCATCTGCAACTCCAAGTGGTTTGTGGAAACCTCCATTATACTGTTCCTCAACAAAAAGGATCTGTTTGAGGAAAAGATAAAGCGATCTCCCTTGACGATATGCTTCCCGGAGTATTCAGGTAAATGATTGTGCATACAGCAACCAAGGAAGGTGCCTAATTCATGGATATTTTCTGCAGGTACCAACACCTTCGAGGAGGCGGCCAACTATATACGCATGAAGTTTGAAAATCTCAACAAGCGAAAAGACCAAAAGGAGATATACACGCATCTCACCTGCGCCACAGACACCAACAATGTGAAGTTTGTCTTTGATGCCGTCACCGATGTGATCATCAAGAACAATCTAAAACAAATTGGCTTATTCTAAGGGGAGGAGGATGACGATGAGGATGGATTCACCATTATTTAGCTTGCGTCGTAGTAGTATTAAAGGAAAACGCGCAAAAACATTTCCATTACATGTTAAGAACTAAATATATACTTTATATATATATATGCTCTATATATACGTAAATGTATACTCTACGCTTTACACATGCTTACACATAATTTTAATAACCGATTTGGTTGCCAGTAGTCGCGCGGAACAAGTAACAAACTGCAATTTAGCTAACAGTTTTTCGATATAAATTGCACGCATAAGTTAACTAATTTAAAATGTAATTTAACAAGTGTAAAGTACGGGCGATCGATCGCCATAAAGAAAGTCTGCCGATCAGTCCCTAAAATCGATCGGTTTGCTTTGCGGCTTAAGCTAGGATTTATGCCTTCCAACAATGGGCTAAATTGCGTTGCCCAAACGGGCACTAGTCTGTAGTCTGTAGTGACGATGGCGCCTCTTTGGGCAGTGCAATTGGCTTCTCCGCATTGACAGGCGTTAACATAGGGTGAGTGTGGGCCTGAATTCGTGTGCGATCGCTAGTAAGCCTCTAAATGTAACTAGTAAACTTACTAATATGCTTAGTAATAGCCTTAATAAAAGACAAATAAAATAATGTTCTCCATGATGGTGACGAGTCGATTCTCTACAGAGGCAAACGAATTCACAGTCAAATATCCAACTCTGGTGGCATTTGGTTTAATAATTTGGCCAAAGGAACGCAAAAATGAGCTCATGGACTTTTTTCAGTCAGTGCTGCCCATCATTTTAGACAAACTCACCTCGCACTCAGGAGCAATGCTGCCTATTCGGCACATTGCAATTGGATGCCTGAGTTGGAGTTGAGTTTTCATTCTTTTTTGGCTTGATATTCGCTTGACAGTCGTGTGAAGTTTTCCGTTTTCTTGACTTGAAAATTGTTCTTTTGTGAAAATTAAGCATTTCCCAACTAAGAAAATTGAAAATGCTGCGCGCAACTCTACTGGCCACTCAAAAGGGTGGAATCAATCGCGCCCTGCTCGCTGGACGCCAGGTGAAGCCATCTGGTAAGTAAAAGCTTGCGCCGCGGTACTGAATTTATTGCAACTCATTGCTGAATTTCCGAAGATTATTCAACGCTGGTGCTGCTGCCCCTGAAGTGTTTCGACGGGCCCCAATTCCGCGGCTGCGTGCCGGTCTATCGCTTGTGCAGCGGAGGCGGAGGGGATGGCGACAAGAACAAGAAGCCGCCGACTGGCTTTGCCATGTCCAATATTGGTACCGATTTTGAGGCTGCAACCCCACCAGGCGGGACATCCAAGTTGGGCGAAACATCGACTCTGACGGGCGTAAATGTGAGCGTCGGCGACCTTCAGGGAAAAGACAACGACGAAAGCCGTCTTTCCCGCTTGAAAAATATGACCAAGAGTTATGAAGGCCCTCAGGGAAAAGACAACGAGGAAGGCCGCCCTCAAGGAACACTCTACGAAATGGTTGCAGCCCGCCAGAAGGGTAAACTCGAACCGTTCGGTAAAGAATGTCGCGGCAAGGGCGAATCCGCCACGCCGGAGAAAACAATTGAGAATAAATCGGCTGCAAGTCGCGGCGTCGGAGTCGACGAGGCAACTGAGCGTATAACCAAGCAATTGGGAGAGCTAATGGCCAAGTTGCCCACCAAGCAGCAGACGGAGAAGTTCTTCTTCCGCGTTGTAGCCTTTATCTACGACCTCAGCTTCCTGGCTGGCACTTGGGCCATCAGCTTTGTTGAGAAGAACATCATCGCAAACCCCACCGTGAAGGCCTACTGGAAGAAGTTCCACGAGAAGATGGAACAGGCCAAGAAGGAATAAACTAAGCCCCCAAGTGGAGGAGCATTTGTAATGATGTATATGTACATATAATTTGATTACCAAATATACATCATTCTGAGAATCTAGAATTACTGCAGGCGCACATGTTTCTGCTATTCGAATGGTATATTAGCGGTTAGATTGGGTTTCAGTTTGAGGTGTAGCCCTCCAGTAATTTGGCCAGGTATTTCACAATCTTGTTGCGTGCTTCCACCAGCTGTGGGGGATCGGTTTTCGTCGGCTCGTACATGTTGGCACAGTGTGCAGTTCCTACAAAGAAATTCCAATGGCATTAGCGCACACATTCTTTCAGAGATTTTCCACTGCATGAGTACCTTCTATGTAAATGGTTGGTGTGGCTGCATTTGACGACTTGACCAGACCCAAGGCATGCCACGGATCAATGGAGCCATGCACATACAGCACATTGGTGGTCTCCGGCTTGAGGGCACCGTAATGCTTGTTGGTCTGCGTCACCACCTGCTCCAGATACTTGGCATCCATGCTGTTGGAAAACACATCCATGCACTGGCGTATGAAAAATTCCACGCCAAAGCGGTCGCCAAATGTGTCCGTCTTGTTCTCAGAGGTCTGATAGAAACCGAACTCGTTGCAGGTCTGATACGTCCACTGACGCATTCCCTTGGCCGCCTCCGAATCCCACGAGACGTTCTGCATGTCGGTAACCATTTTATCGTACTTGTAGTCGAGGCATGTGGCATTCGATTGCTTCAACAGCAGGCCATTGACGACCCCCAGTCGGGTTACAGGCGGTCCAATGGTCATGTTCAACATGACGTCGCAGATCTAACGAATATAAATGACTACAACTTTGCTATCTTTAGATAGCCTCGTGGGCGATAAACGTACCTCATCAATGGTTATCGTGGCATGTGGACTGTTGTCCTTGTTGTACTGGACGACGCCAGCAAAGTTTCCAGCCAGATTCTCAAACAGATTGGCCATATCCAATTGGTTCTCAATGGAGTCCTTGATGGGCGTGCAGGTTCTAAGGTGTACAAGGCCGATAGCATTAGTCTTTCACAACCATTTCGATACCCACTTGAACTTTTCATCCAGATTGCGCTGTCCGATCATGTGCTTTAGCAGAATCTCCACCTGGGCAAAGCTGCGTGTCACCGCCTCCACACAGTCCGGCTTGTAAGCAGCCAGTGAATCCTTGACCACCTCAAAGTATGCCCTGAAGTCGACCTGCGCCAGCAGCGGACCACTGGAGCTGATCGAACCGTAGATGAGATGGGGATACTTCTCCCGCGCCCAAGCCGCAAGCGAGCCCGGATAGGAGCCGCCAAATGCAATCCATTTCTGGGTCTCGGCCAGATTGTACTGCACCTTCATAGCAGCCACAAAGTTGGCCAAATCGGCAAGAGCCTGCTCCGAGCTGAGGAACGCCAGATTGGCGGTGTTCAGGTCGCTGGTCGGGTGGCTCTTGCCGTAGAAGCGATGCTCCAGCTGAATGCACAGAGCACCAAAGTGCTCGGCGTAGTGCACCCAGGCGCCCTCGCGCATCCACTTTGCCGAGGCCTCGCCCTCGCCACCGATCATCAGGAATATGGGGGCCGTGGTGTCATTCCTGTAGTAGTCGGCATTCACAAAGTAGCGCTGCTGCCAGGTCCTAGTGTTGCGTGCCTGGAAATGATCCAGACGCTGCTCGAACCACAAATCATCTGAGTCCAAAGATCGCTGCAGTGTGGGAATCTTGCTGGGATCGCCCATGAATCCATTCACCAGTCTCCCTCGGCGAAAGCCAAGCGCAGAGCTCTGCGCGATTAGGCAAAGGAGGAGCAGCAGCCCCAGTCCCAGGGGCTGAAGTACGCCCACAAATCGGAACATTTCAAGTCTCCTTTGTTTTTGCTCAGGTCAAGAGGCGGGTAGATTGATTTATTTGATTAACTCGAGTGCCGTGTGCCAGTTCGCCTCTGTCGCTCGCCTAACTGTAAAAATCAGAATCAGTATGGCTCCCCGTTATATATATAGCATACCGTTCATACCCTCTATAATTGCTCTCCTTCTTGTATTCTTATTTCTCTTCAATTACCGGCAGAGAGCGAGAATTGCAAACTTTTTCAGCCACTGGCCAAACAGCTGTTCAGGCCGCCATGTGCAAGCGAGACAACTCTGTGAGCTACGGTTTCCAGCCAACGGTTTCCATTTGAATGCATATTTTGGAAAATTAACAATTCCTGAGCCGTCTGTCAAAGCATAGCCATAGCAATAGCCAAACAAATATTATTTTTTATAATATTATATATATAAACTAGAAGTATACGAAATAAAACATAAAGAAAAAATTTTAGCATTTTTCAGCACAGTCTGCATTGGACTTCACAGCACTGATTTGAGAGCGCGCTTAGTTCGAAAGTGAAGGAGAAAATACATAAATAATGACGAATTAATTAAAATGGCTGTTAGTTAATCAATTGGTTAGGTCATCCATTTTAGGTGCCAGTGCCATGGCATTGAAAGCCTTGACATCATTTTCAGCTTAATTTCCACAGTGGGGCTGTGATTCAAATGAAATTCTCGCTGAAATATTTTCTTGCAGACGTGACGGAAAATCGTATTTATTGACACGCAACCACAAAGCCCTAATTGAATTTGTCTAGCGTGTGGGGTTAACATATAAAAGACCCCGCCGAAAGGTATGCCAACCCAGTTCAAGCCAGTGGGCGCCCCGTCCACGGAAAGGCCTTCGGTTAAGTGAATCCCAGTGATGGAATCTCTGTGCAATGCCAGCGAGCCTCCACTACGGCCGGCGGCTCGCATGTCCTCCGGCAGCGATGAGCTGCAGTTCCTCGGCTGGAACGTGCCCCCGGATCAGATACAATACATACCGGAGCACTGGCTGACCCAACTGGAGCCGCCCGCCTCCATGCACTACATTCTGGGCGTCTTCTACATCTTTCTATTCTTCGCCTCGACCCTGGGCAATGGGATGGTTATTTGGATATTCAGTACATCGAAATCCCTGCGCACACCCTCGAACATGTTTGTGCTCAATCTGGCCGTCTTCGATCTGATCATGTGCCTAAAGGCGCCCATTTTCATCTACAACAGTTTCCATCGCGGCTTTGCCCTGGGCAACACGTGGTGCCAGATCTTCGCCTCCATTGGCTCCTACTCGGGCATCGGTGCTGGGATGACGAATGCGGCCATTGGCTACGATCGCTACAATGTCATTACCAAGCCTATGAACCGCAACATGACCTTTACCAAGGCCGTAATGATGAACGTCATCATTTGGCTGTACTGCACGCCGTGGGTCGTACTCCCACTGACAAAGTTCTGGGATCGCTTTGTACCAGGTGAGTCTCCCTCCCTCCCCGTACGATTATTAACGGATGGATATGGGAAGCCATTGCAACTGGTTTGGTTTTCCATGCTAGTATAATTTTTATGTACCATACAAATACGCCTTCTAATTTCGGATGCGGAGACAAACGCCAAAGGTAGAGTAGGGTCGGGGGCTTGGGTCGGCTTCGGGTTCGGGTTCTGTGTGTCGCCTATTGACTGTCCGCTTCAGTCGGCGAGATGATTACGTTCAGGGCCAAGTTGCCATCCTCGGAGAACAGCTCCACGGTGGACTTGTTAAGCACCAAAAAGTCCGCATTGGTGAACGTTACGAAGCTCTCGCGGATGGACCGAGGCTTGGACTGCCAGCGAAGGGTGCGATTGTTGGCATCCAGCGAGATGCTGTAGTCGAATTCGGCGGCATCGCGCATTGTGCCGATCATGCGGCAGGCGGCAAAGTACTGCTGACAGCCCTCGCCCAGATGGATCTTCTCCAGCGAGAGCAAAAAGTGGCGGCCGTGGCAGGACTGCACCATTGTCCAGTCGAGGGCGCCCTCCAGATTCACGTTGGTGGCCAGGAAGATGATGTCGTGACCCTCCATCGTGATGACATTCTCGTGCGTTGCAACCAGGTGGCCGAAGACATCCTTGAGCGGACCCTGCCACACGCACTTGTCGTCCGGATAGGGGCAAAAGAAGGGACGGAATTCGCAGTCATCCTCGTGCAGCTTCTTCTCCGAATAAGTCATAATGAGCTTGCAGCCGTAGTGCGAGTGCTTGCAGGGGAAGAACAGCTTTGAGGCGACATTCTCCATTGCCAGGTTACGGATGTTGCTCATCGGCACGCGGCACACGGGGCACAGGGTTAGCTTGTGCCTGCACGACGAGCAGATCAAATGGCCTCTCGAGCACTGCATGATCGGTGGCATTATGTAACCGAAGCAAACGGGGCACTCCAGCAGCGACACATAATAGTCGGCCAGAGGCCCCTCCAGAGAACTTTCCGCTCGCACCACAGCCCCCTCCTGGAGCTGTTCCTGACTCTCACCGGCGGCAGGATTCGGATTTGGTTGCCTGTTTAATTGCACGAGTGCCACTGAGTCTGGCTTGGGGACAAGTTCTAGGTGGCCTGTCCCTGCCCCTGGGCCTTGGTTCGGGTTTGGGTGTGGAGCTGCTGCACCAGCAGCTGCACCTGCACCAGCACGATTTGGAAGCTCCGGGGCTGATTGATGGCGTGGCAGCATCTCCTCGAAGTCCGAATAGAAGCCTCTAATTAAAGATATGGCGTGTTGGTATTTAAGTTCTGTATAACGTTGAAACATTAAATTTTGCTTAAGACCAAAATATTTCTGCTCAAAATTTAAAATTTGTACTGATAATTTTTTTGTTGTGTTTTGTAAAACAATTTCGGACTGAATAAAACGCGTTAGCCTGTCTGACAATAAATTTATGAATAACTATACATGTAAGGACTAAAGTTGGTTAACACAAAAGGAATACTCGATTGAAATGTTTTTTTTTTGTTCGGTCTCTCGGAAAATGTAAGAAAAAACTACTTTGATGCTGATTTGTATTGCAGCATTTTGGCCTCTGTGGTTGACAAGAAATAAGTAAAAGATCGTTAATACTTTTTACTAATCACGTTTATTTCACTTTTCTGTAGTTCTGTTGTGTATGTGAATGTGATCTCGTATGGTAGTTTGTGGTGGGGTAGGGAGGGGAGGACAGCGCGTTAAAATCAGCGCATTAAAAGCTAAATATGGTGCAGACGTCTCAAATCATTCCTCATTCTGCACATATTGGCCATTTGGACAAGATCTAAATTGAAACAAAATGTGAGCCGGACCAGGGGGAGATCTAAACTGGGACGGGGGAAATTATCCCCATTCTCTGTGGGATCGGGCAGAAGGGATAGGAATTGTAATGGGCAGGGGACTGTCTTTTAGCATTGCAAACAATATGGTTACATTTCCTTCGATTTGTTAGTGGGAATTTGGCATGCGAAAAAAAAAACTGTTTGGTTGCAGGGCTCGAACGGTGCCGCAACTCCCCTCTCTCTCTCTCCTTATCTTTGTCTCAAACAACTCTCGAGTTATTACAGATTATCATCAATACGATTTGTTTGCTGTGGTTAATTTTGTTTAAACTGATTTACTTATTACCATTTACAATTATTGTATGTATAAAATAATTTACATTAACTAAACTAGACTGCAGATTGTTTTTGTTTTTGTTTGTGTGTATGTTCTGTGTGTTGTGTGGTTTACAGTGGTAGTAGATAGTAGGTAGATAGGTGGTGGTGTGATTGTGGTGTTTGGATCTGGTGGGCACAATGGGCACGCGTAGGCAGCTCCGCTCCAGGTGTGGCCCGCCGTAGACGCAGACGGCTTATTAACTAAAATTAAACTAAAGGCAGAAATAACACCACGACAATTAAAATAGGAAATGATCAAACACTGACAAACATTTAAATAAAGTGTGTCTGTTTCTGTGTGTGTATGTGTGTGTGTGTGTGTGGAATATATGAACAGTTTAATCCTAGAGCTAGTACCAATCGAGTAGTAGTGGGAGCACTACTTTGCCATCATTTTCTTCTCTGCTGGCCGCCTTTCACATCGAAACTTACATTCAAAAAATATCTATATAGATGTTATATGCAATTATATAGGTAAGTGTGGGAGGGTGTAATTATGAGGGTGTGCATATAGAACGAAGAATCGTTTTTAAAACGATCCTAATGCTGCTTTTGCTGCTGCTTATCTCTCTACAATCCACCCTTTCATTTCAATCATTCTACGAATCTACCAATTAGACGTATGATGCGAACAAAGGGCTAAACTATGTATATGGTATTGTATTTATACGACAAAAATGTAAAAAAGAAATAAACAATTAAATTGGGCGATTCACGGACGCGAGGCGCGGCTGCCTAGACCAGAGAGATGGTCACATTGATGCCCAGATTGCCATTGTCGGCGAAGAGCTGCGCAATCGATGTGTCGAACACCAGGCAATCCGAATTGTGTATGGCGGAGGCAACGCCCTCGTGTATGGAACGCGGCATTGCCTCCCAGGTGAGGCGGCGGCGGTTGCCGTTCAGCTCGAGGCGGTACACAAAGTTCTCGGCCTCCTTGCGCGAGCCAATCAGCTGGACAATAGCGAAGAACTGCTGGTGTCCGTCGTACTTCTCCTGCTTCTCGAGGACAAGCATGAAGTGGTGGCCGAAGCAGGACTGCATCATCACCCAATCGACGGCGCCGGGCAGATTGATGTCGGTGGCCAGAAACACAATGTCTTCGCCCTGCAGCGTGGTGATGCTCTTGTGGGACATCATCAGGTGCTGCATGACTAGGTCGAGCGGTCCCTGCCACTTGCAGGAGGCCCCCGGGCAGGGGCATAGGTAGGGCCGACACTCGCAGGTCTCCTCGTGCTCGGTCTTCTCCGTGTAGACAAGCGAGGCAGTGCACCCGTAGCCCGAATGCTTGCACGGAAACTTTACGTTCGAGGCGACCTTCTCCATGGCCAGGTTACGGATATTGGCCAGTGGACCGCGGCATGTGGGGCAGCAGGTGAGCTTGGAGCGGCACGAGACGCACACCAAGTGCCCGCTGGAGCATTGCAGGATCGGGGGCAGCACATAGTCAAAGCAAACTGGGCATTCGAAGAGCGATGTTAGGTCGGCGGACATGCCCGCATCACCGCCACCGGCGGAAGACAGCGAGGAGCTGGACGATGAGGATGTGTTAGCCGAGGAGGTGTTGGCGGCACTGGAGCCGGTCGAGCTGCTCGTGTTGGTGGCCACTGCCGTGGGTGCTCCTGCTGCTGCTGCGGCTGCTGTCGGTTCACGGCGTTTCGGGTTGATTTTATTTGACATTGGAATTTTTCTCTCTGCGAAACGAATATCTCTATAGTTCTTCCAAAATCTCGCTCTTTCTCTCCCGTGGAGTCCTGTGCGGAGTGCCAGTCCGTTCCGGTTGGTCCGGGAACAGTTATTTGTGCGTTCTGTGCTCTCCGTCTACGTCTGTCTCCTTTCGCTGCTACTGCTGCGTCACTGCAAAATAAATGAAATCGAATCGAATTGAATGAGTAATGTGTCACACTTCGATGGGGCGAGTAGTTCAACTTGGAGGAGCCTCTACTCTACGGCCAAGAGTAAACAATTAATCATGCCCCGACCTTCACCTTGTCGCGGATCCCCCAATTGTTGGCATTACCAAAACGAAAAAGAAAACATGAAATGCGAGCCATAGGAATTGCATTTAAGCAATTATTATTTAACTGGAAACGTATCGAACGAAGTTAAAGTCCATGTCGAAGCCGAAGCCGAGGTCAGCCTCACGTAGAAGGCCCAAAAGAAAATACTTCTGGGCTGCACGGTGGTGCGGTGGCACGTGTGGAACGACGCAAATACTCGCATGTGTGTAGTGTGTAGGGTCTTATCAGAGAGCCCTGACGCTGATGGACGGCCATTAGGGACGACGACCCAAAACATACCGATTGTGGGCGGGTACGAGAAGTGGGGAGGGACGCAGGGCCGTGTGTGGAGAATGGTATGGGTGTGGCGTCGTCCACAACAATGGTCACACACACGAATGGAGATATTTCTACGTTCATGCGAAGACTAACTTACGATTAGATAGATAAATGATTTGGCGTGGCGCAATTCTTTGAAGTTAAACATTTAACAATCCAAATTCCAAAATTGAAATTGAAATCATTACAGGAAAAAATAGGAAGTAGAAATTACACTGAAATTATCACTATAAGAAGCACGTAATAAATTTTGTCCCGCATAAACGATGCATATGCCTACGACACGCAACGAAAAGCGCGTAACGTAATGCATCAAGGGGAAATGAATAGAATGGTTGCTTGGTGGAGCAGGAGGAGTATGCAGACGCTCACTGAATCGCGAACACACACATAATTAACAGTTCGTTTACGCCATGTACCGTATGAAAAATATCCATATGAAGACTCCCCAAAGTCTCTGGGGCAGAGCCTCAACTCTGGGGGTAAAATGTTAATTACTGCCACAAAAGACACAGGCCATGAATATAATTAACTTTGCTGTGCGCTGTTTCTTTTTCAATGAGTTGCAAAATAAAATGTATTAAAAATAGAAAACGTAAGTTGCAGAGCAGAGCGAATTGCTCAAGCCGCCATTAAGCTGCACTGCAGCACATAAACAAGCACAAAATACATAATCATACGTAAACTTACATAGCAGGCTGTGCTGGTTGGGGGTTTTTTTTATCAGTCAGCCTTTATGGCAATGCACTGACCCATCCCGTTCGGATACGTCTCTTTTTTTCTTTAACTATAAATCAATGCAGGTGGTTTTTCTTTCGCAGGAAAAACGGCACGCACACCGAGAGCAAATGGAAACTGTTTTGATTGCTTTTCGACTTTTTGTTCACCTTGCGCCAAACTCGAATTTCAGGCGTGCGCTAATTTCATTTGGCTTTTTTTATCTAATTTTCTTTTATTCGCCTCTCGCGCACACATCCATTGAATACAAGTTCGCTTTTGTTGCTGTTGCTAATGCTGGCTGCTGCTGCGGCTGCTGCTCCTGTTGTGTTTGTTGTTGTTCTTTTTGTTGTTGCATGAAAATATCATATCATTTGCATTTAATTTACACACAGCAGCGAGATGAATTTTTTTTTTATTTCACTATTCGCGTTGCACCTACTTGCCTCACCTTTTCTTTATTGCACTCGCACTTGCTCGAAACGAATTTCAGTCTTTTTAGCCACTAAAGTATCAACTGGGGTTTTTCGTTAGCATATTATCAGTTTTTTCATTCTATTTTACCTATTTTTGCTAAGTTTCTTCTAATGTCCGCGTCGTAGGGATGTTTGTATGTTGATATACCAACATATCGATATATATTGTTTGTTGACAATAGTTTTAAAGGCGATATTTTTGAACAGACGATATACGGGGGGATATCAGGGCGTTTTTTTCCAAACTTGGAGCGCATGTACACTATTTTTCTGTAGTTTCACGTGTTAAATCGGCTATATCAACGACTTTTGATTATACTGGCATATTTTATCGATACACAGGGTTGTGGGGAAAAAATATCGGTACTTTTGTGCGATAAGCGGATTGACATCGGCGGTAGCATACCTTTATTTTGAAAATAATATCAAATTTCGTTGCCACTTTCTTTCGTTGCAGAGGGATATCTCACATCCTGCTCGTTCGACTATCTCTCGGATAACTTTGACACCCGCCTCTTTGTGGTCACCATCTTCTTCTTCAGCTTCGTCTGTCCCACGCTGATGATCCTGTACTACTACAGCCAGATAGTGGGACACGTCTTCAACCACGAGAAGGCTTTGCGGGAACAGGCGAAGAAAATGAACGTGGAATCGCTGCGCTCCAACGTGGATAAGAGCAAGGAGACGGCCGAGATACGGATTGCCAAGGCGGCCATTACCATTTGCTTTCTGTTCTTTGTGTCCTGGACCCCCTATGGAGTGATGTCCCTAATCGGAGCGTTTGGTGACAAGAGTCTGCTGACGCCAGGTGCCACAATGATTCCGGCCTGCACGTGCAAGCTGGTGGCCTGCATAGATCCGTTTGTGTATGCCATCAGCCATCCAAGATACCGCATGGAGCTCCAGAAGCGGTGTCCCTGGCTGGGTGTCACTGAGAAGTCAGGCGAGGCTTGCTCGGCCCAGTCTACGACCACGCTGGAACAGACGCAGCAGACCACAGCGGCCTAGAACAATGATCAATCGTCTGACCCAACTGAACTTGTAATACAATGGACAACGGAAACTATAACAACGAATTTAGGATAGAGGCTAGCTAAGCCAAAGCATTAATTAACTTTTATGATTTTTAGATCCACATTTGAGTTATTGGTCCGTGAATCAATAAAGTAGCAAGTTATGGCAAGAGAGATTGAAATAGTCAGTTATTTATTCATTCGGTATTCTGCTGTGGGTAATTCTATCTTTCAGATACGATACCCATTATTGGATCTGGTGGATTTTGTTAAACAATTTAAATCATCGTCATTCTCATGCCCTTTCCCATTCCCCTTATAAGAGATCCCCCCAATGAGTCGCCCTCATTGATTCGACAGCAGCAAGTGCAGATCGATCACAGCGCGGTAGTCGTTGTGCGACAGTTCGCCCTGCTGCGATCGTTGCAGCACGCGATTCAGTCGCTCCCGCATATCCGGCCGGGTTGTAATCTTGAACAGATCATCGATGTACCGCAGCGACTCGCGCGACCAGAATACCGATGGCTTGTTGGCATCCAAGCCACGTGCGTTTGGCTTCACTTCGCCCAGGAGTCGTGCGAACTGATGGTCCGGATTGCGCAGCTGAAGATCGGCCCGAGCACGTTGCTGGGGATTGTTGAAGGGCATCTGTATGGACTGGCCACGTTTTGGTTGCTGCTGTTGGCCTACTCCTGGTCGATGCTGCTGTTGTCCTGCTCCTGGACGTGGCTGCTGTTGTCCTGCTCCTGGACGTTGCTGCTGTTGTCCTGCTCCTGGACGTTGCTGCTGCTGTTGTCCTGCAGTTGTACGTTGCTGCTTTTGAGGCTGACCTGCTCCTGGACGCTGCTGCTGTTGCCCTGGTCCAGGACGTTGCTGCTGTTGCGGTTTTCCTCCTCCTTGTCGTTGCTGCTGTTGGGATTGTCCTGCGCCTGCACGTTGCTGCTTCTGGGCCTGTCCTGTTCCGGCTGGACGCTGTTGCTGTTGTGCTTGCGTTGCACCTGCTCGCTGTTGCTTCGCCTTCTGCTTGGGTGGCGGTGGCGGTGCCATATGCTGCCAGGCTGGTGACGGTGGCGTTGGCGAGGCGGCCCGCTTACTGGTTGGCTGTGGTGTCGGCTGGCCCCTACCCATATGAAGAGGCGGCAGTCCCAAGAGCGCAGGATCAATGTTCATCGTGGGCAGGCGATTCTTCAGATCTAAGTGGACATAGGTATCCAGCAGTTCCTCGTACTTGGGATGGGGATACGCGGTGAAGATCATGCGCCAGTGATCTTCGATTTCGGTGCGCATCGCCGGCGAGGCGTTGTCGTCAGGCGAGAAATCTTTCAGTAGGGTTTGCAATAGCACCAGCAGTTGATCCAAGTGCGTGCTGCCATTCAACAGGCCCGCCTGCCCCACCAGGATCATGTTGAGTTGGCGTCGCTTCTTCTCCGCCAACTTGAAACCATTCTTAGTGTTCAAATTCTCCTGCTGCTTGATGGCCCTATACAGGGCCTTGGCATTGCCCAGGTGACTGTTGAGGCTTACAATGCCATCCCTTAGGAAACGGATAAGGACATCAACGCGTTTTGGTGGCTTTTGGGTCTGGAACTCAACGCTCCTGCGCTTGACCTCCTGATGGCGGTGCAGCAGCTTCAGTTGCAGATCTTCCTGATGCGCCTTCAGACCGTAGATCACCAGGACATAGCCATAGGTCATCAAGTCCATGCGCACAGTTACCTGGCATTGCTTGGAGGACTCAGCAAGAAACTTCCAGCCCTCTGGGCTGAACAAGTACTCGGACAGGTCGCGGGCCATAATGATCTTGCCCTCGCAGGGTACATCCGGCATCTCGTTGTCCGCACTGTCGTCCATCCTCTCCATGCGCCTGCTGTTGATGCACATCGAGATGCCTTGGCTGTTGGAGGAAATGTTGAACTCATCATCATTGCCTCCGGACAAGGGTATAATATCGGGCATCGGGCCCATGGGACGGCTGTTTTTGCGACTCTTCTCCATTGGTATGTCGTTCTCGTCGCTTGTCGTCGACGTGGGCAGCTCAAAGTGCTCGGAGAAGCTGTAGTTCGAGTCCGAGTCCAGCTCATGGGCGCCCACAGATTGTCGGCTGGTGCTGGCCATCGGCATGGGAGCTTCCTCTGATTGCGCCTCAAAACTGGTGGAGATCTCTTCACCCTGTATCGCAACGGGCTTCTCTTCTTCCATGGTCTTCTGGGCTTCTTTAGTCTGCTCTTCCGCTTCTGTGGCCTGCTCTGGTTCTGTAGCCTGCTCTGGTTCTGTAGCCTGCTCTGGTTCTGTGGCCTGATCTGTTTCTGGGACCTTCTCTGCTTCAGGCGCCTTCTCATGGGTCAATGTTTCCTCTGCGGCTACGACTTGCCCACGAGCAGCCTTCGCCTGAGCATTGGGCACATAATCATGGGTATAAACTTTAGCCGGTACCTCTTCCAGGGTGGCAATGGGTGTGGCCTTTCGTTTAATGCTCTGTGGCCGGGCGAGGTTGGCCTGGATGAGGAACCTGCCATAGTAGCTGTTCTTGGGTATGTTCGGATCACTCCACGCAAAACTAAAGGGTACATCGTTCGCAAAAAATGCCGTCAGATCCCCCAAATAGCCGAGATTTCCGCTGCGATCCTTGTAGGTCTTCTGATGCGACACAATGTGCGAAGCGTACGTTTGGCTGCGAAACTCGCCAATGCGCTGGCGGCAGTTCTCAAAGAGATGTCCCTTTCCGGCGCAATAGCTGCACTGCTTTGCATTGTACTTGACATTGCTCTGAAGTGGCACATTCGAACGGATCTGGTGGAGGAGAAGGATTGTTTTAATCGAGGGATCTTTAGGCTTAGTTTCTCTCGCTTACCGTTGAGTGGTAGCGACGCCACTTGTCCGGGCAATGGTCCACGCCATGGCCCCGCATCTTGCACAGCTGACAGATGAGGCGACTGTGGAATGAGCACTTGTTGCACTGCTGCACATAGATCGACTGCTTGGCGCCGCACTGTAATGAAAGCAACAGAAAGAGACTCGCATAAATTTGTTATCTTCAGACAAAGGGAATTCTCGTGTCTTACACCCAGGCAGATGGCATTGGGGCAGCGTGGCTCGGCATGGCCCGCCTTGCCGCACATGTGACAGACAAGCGGCTTGCGTGGACGCGGACATTTGGATCGCATGTGGCCCATTTCGGCGCAGTTGGTGCACTTGGCGCGTGAGCGAGGACGAACCACCGGGTATCGGTCCTCGTTAACGATCCTCCACTCCTGTCGACGCCCTGCAATGAAACACACTGGTGGTGAAACACTCCGTCAGTGTCTACTGCCGCTCCCAATGCTTACCATTCATGGCTCTTTGGATTTTTTGGACACTGAAGTTCTCGCCCTGCCAGCTGTCGTTGTAGAAGCAGCACATTTCCTCATTCCAGCCAACCAGTTGCCCGCCCGTGGGCACAGGCTCGTCTATCAGCTCTGTGAGATTGTGTTCCACTTTGATCGTTGGCTCTGCTTCAATCTCCTCCGGGGGATAGTCCTCCGTTGGCATCGTAGTGTCCGCTGCATACTGGTAAGGCTCCTCTTCCTCAGAGAGCGCTACTCCGCTCACCTCCGCTGGCGGTACTTTGCGTGTACCGGCATCAACGCGCTCGAAGATCGCCAATACGCGATCGGTGACGGCACTGTTGAACTCTGCCTCATTTTGGGAGTCTGCATCGCTGCCAATTGAAAGAGTTTCTAGCGGATCATCCGCTTGAGCTTCGCGCAGCTGCTGAACCTCGTGGTTCCCTCCCTGTCCCCTCTCCTTGGCCTGCTCCTGCTGCAGCAGACGCTCGGCTATGGCCCGGGCATTGGGCAGATCATCCTCCGAAGCGGAATTGGAGCTAGACTCGTGTATTGGCTTTAGATTAGCAATCCGTGGGTATGCTGGCGCTTTTTTTTGTATATCCTCCGAGCTACGGCGAGCGCTGAGGCGGCGTATCTTGCGCTTGCAACGCTCCACAGCCATGCCACGGGCAATGCCTGGGACTCCTGTGGGCTGCACCCCATCCTCGCTGTCCGTATCCTCCTCGTCGTCGTCGTTGTTGGCCTCGGACTGGCTTTGGTTTGTGCTCGACGAGCGACGCTTGCGCAGCCGCTTCATCTTGTTCACGGTTGGTTCCACGACCTCCGCCACATCGGAGCTATCCGATGGCGACTCCACGCTGCGTATAATAGTGGGAGTGGTCTTTGCCTTGGCCTTGGAGTAGATGCCGCTCTCGGTGAGATCCGATTCGCTTTCGTAGACATCCAGCGCTCGGTACTGTTGGTGATCATCCACGCGATAATTCTGCTTGATCTCCTCCAGTCGCGAGGGCGGCACAAACTCGTACTCGGAGGAGGTTTCGGCCGCTAGATCGGCCCCTTGAGGTAGCTCTACGTCTACATCTGCATCTGCCTCTGCATCTGCATCTGGCCCCTGCTGCTCCATATCGACATCCTGCTGACCGGCAGCCTCTCTGATGGCATTCTCCGTCAGCACCAGGAGATCCTCGTCTGTGGCCCGAGCGCTATCCTCCAGCAGGCGACTCGTGTCCTTTTGCACGATAAAATCATCGCTGGACAAGACTGAATTGCAGGGCGAGTACAGCGGTGGCGTCATAGGAGCAGCTCCTGCCTCCGGTTGGGTGATGCAGGAGATACTCATTACCACATCGGCAGCGTCCATGGCATTCTCCTCGTGATATTGATCCGCTACACTGTTCTGATCCGTGTCACTGGTATCCAGATCGATCACCGGCACAGGTGGCAGTGGCACGAGTATCACATCATCGTCATCCTCGTTGGACGTTTCGGCCAAGTCCACAAATGCCACGGGTTCCGTTGGCTTGCGCTGCTTCTTGTTGGCCAGCGCCTGTTTGGACTTCAGCTTCTTGGCCGCCAGGCGCTCCATTTGGATCAGCTTGCGATTGGCCTTGCTGAAGGGTCCCGGTTCGGATTTGACCTGCTGTTGCTTTCCCTTCTGCTTCTTGGGCGGCCAGTTTGAGGGTATGGCCACGAGTAGTTTCTGGTCAAAGCGTTCGGGCTCATCATCCGCCTGTTGCTGTTGCTGCTGTTGAGTTTTTGGTTTCTGTTCTGCCTGTGACTTCTGTGCAGGTTTTGGCTTTTGTTCTGCTTTTGTTTGTGGCTTTGGTGAGCTCTTCCACTTGTTATCCTTCTGTTCTACTCTTGGCTGTAGCTTTGGCGATGGATTCTCCCTGTCCTTCTGCTCTGGTTGGGGTTGTTGCTGGGGGGAAGGCTTCACCTTGTCCTTCTGCTGATTTTGTTGCTTCGGCTGTGGTGTTTTTGGGAAGTTTAGCGTTTCCTTCCTGTTTGGCAGTGACGGGCGTTTGCCATTTGGCTTGTCTGCCTCCTTGGGCGTTGAAGTCGAAGTAGAGGTGACTTCAGCAGCTGGAAAGACACAAGTACCATGGACTAAGAAAGAGCACAAATCAAAATAGAACCGGAAAGAAACCTCAACCTGATAATCAATCTGTTGTGAGATTAAAGGGAATTTTAATACCAAAAAGGGTTAAGCAAATAGTTAAAATTCTCATTCTCCAGATCCTGGGCAGCCACATCGCCCAAACAATAGCCATGGGCGTTGAGCTCCTCCAGCTCCCCCTCGTTTATGTGGTACAGAATGAACGGATCCACATGCATATCCGATCTGTTGGGCCACAGCAGGATCTTCGCCGAGGTGCGAAACAAGTTGACCGCCTCATTGATCAGGCTTTTTGCATCGGACATGTTCTTGAGCACCACTTGACTGCCATGTGCGGAGAGCGACCGCACCACCAGGGCGTGCTCCAGCTGCCGCACCAGGCGTATCAACACGAACCGTCGATAGCGCTCCTCGTAGTGGAGGAGCGGCTTGTTGAACTCCCGCATGTTACGACGCAGCAGGGCCGAGAAGACAATGACATCCACGACAGAGCCCAGCACATGGATCGAGGCCGTCAACAGAATCCACGTGAGCAAGTACTCGGTGGGGCACTGGCTCAGCTCCTCGCGCCAGTAGAGCAAATCGCAGCCATACTGCCGGAAATGGTAGTCCAGCCAGACTGCTAGGTAGAGCATATTCAACGTGGCCAGTGCCAGGCACCCGGGATTCAACAGACCCAACCATTCGTAGAGGATCTGCAGAATGGTGCTACCCAGCGACAGCAGCTTATTCAGATACTTCATGGCCGAAAGCAGAGAATTTTAAACCGAAATTTCGAAGGCAAACCAAAGTTGGGAAATAGCTTTGAGCCAGACTCTATTTCTATGGCTGTCTTGATGACAAAACATTCGCCAGGATTGCTCACCTGTGGAAACATTTGGAGATTTTGTGCTGGCTGCACCATCCTCGTTGCCTTCCGCCCAGTAGCGTGGTTTGGCGACTGCATTGTTGATTACACGTTTCTCGCTGACAATGCGCTGGACCTGCGGCTTCTGCTGCTGCTGTGGCGGTGGTGGCATGTGTTGTGCATCCACGGCCCGCTGTTCGGCCACAGACGGTGTGATTTCACCAGCACAAGCTTCGCCAGCTCCATGATCGCTGTAATGGATGGACGCGTACAGAATGGACTCCAGCTCATTCAAGCGCTCGCTGTCCATGTCCTCCAGCTGCAATATGTGTCGGGGAATATGTATTAACGATGTTATACCCCAGCAGATTGATACATACATCGCTCATCTTGCGTCTTTGTTTTCTTTTTCTGTTCTTTTAACATCAAATTGATAAAGAAAAGAGAGGGGAGCACGTTTGACAGCCAGATATGGAATGGGCCCATCGATAGTTGTGTAGTTCGTGCGGAACCACTATCGAAACTGGTTTTCTCGATAGTCGATAGCAACATAAAGCAACTCTAGCTGCCGGCCACGTACGATTTGCGTCGATTTACAATTATTTATTAAAGTTCTTAAAGTAAATGAAACTAACTAGCCGGTGCTGGCTGACAAACTAAACCACATTTTGATTATTGCAGCATGGATACCGTCTCCTTTGACAACATGAAACGCTACGTTTCGCCCATCAATCCGGCGGTATTCCCCCACCTCGCCACCGTGCTCCTCACCATCGGGACATTCTTCACGGCCTGGTTTTTCATCTTTGTCGTCTCCCGCAAGACCACCAAGGAGAAGACTCTGATCAAGGAACTGCTCATAAGCTTGTGTGCCTCGATATTCCTCGGCTTTGGCATTGTGTTCCTTCTACTCACCGTCGGTATTTACGTATGAAAATAAGGCAATAACCATTCCATTATAGAAATAAACTAGAAGACCTGTCGTGGGCGTGAACGTACGTGAGGCCTTTTTATTTTAATTTCAAAGATTCAATTTGCGCTCAAAACAATATCGAATATATTATGTTAACATATCAATCGTGTGTGTGTGTGTATTTATGCACCCCCGCGTTGCAATCAATCGAAAAAAAGAGAAGCTATTATTGACGTCACGTCCCATCCAACTAGCCGGCGAGTCCAGCCTTTTGTCTACACTTTTGCATTGTGGCCCGCAAGATGAACTGTTTGCGCGAGAGTGTGCGGACGTGCTTGAGGAAGGTCTCCAGATCGATGACCCCGCCGCGCAAACCCTCGCCCAGGTAATAGATGGCATCCTCTGTGGCAGCCTCGTCAGCATAGGCATTGAGTAATCTGAAAGAGAGCACACATTACACTCAAGAATGTCTTGGCTTGCGCACAGGACTCGACTCACTGTCTGTATAGTGGTGCCGTTGTGGTCACGGCCTCGTCCGGATCAATGGCTTCTGCATTCTCGAGCGTCTCCAGACTCTTCTCCAATTCCTGCTCCTTGTCGCGTAATACGTTAATGTTCTTCTGCAGATCCACCTGCTCGCGCTCGAGGCGCGCTATGATGGAATCAATCTTCGTGCTGCCCTCGACCAACTCCTGTTTGGTGCGATTCAGCGTTTCGATTTCGGCCTGATACTGATTAACCTTCTCCTGTATACGGCGCCGCAGCTTGTCCTCGACAGCGCTGATGAGTGAAGCCTTGATGTGCTCCTCGGTAATGGTGCCCGTCGAGCTCGGACTTGCCGATGGATTCTAAAAAAAAGTCACCCAATCGTAGCCAAACAAGTGTCAGGTTGCAATTCAATTCTATGCTTACATAGCCCCCAGCAGGTGGGTAACTGCCAGGTGGTTGCGGGTAATTCATGTAGGGCGGATAGCCGGCGGCATTGCCCCCAGCTCCGCCTGGTGGATAGGGTCCGAAATTAGCACCTGTTGGATAAGGCGGAAAGTTGCCACCGCTCGCACCACTAGCTGTGGGATACGGCAGAAACGAGTTACTGGCCCCAGCACCGCCAGATTGTTGCATGTAAGCTGAATGGCAGAAAGGATGAGAATCGGATGAGAGATGTTATGGATAACTGGAACACCTGGAACACTCACCGTTTGGTGGATATGGCATTGCCATTTGTTGTTCCTTGGGCTTCGAATACACTGGCGGATGGTCGCCGAATGTCACAATCATGACCTGAATGAGGGAGAGCAGATCCGACGAGTTTGGCTGCCAGTCGTGCAAGTACGGCAGATATACCTTTCCATTGTGATCCACATACATGGACACCTTTATCTGCATGGTGGGTGTGGGCTTGACAAAGCACATTGGCGCATTCTGCGGATGAGTGTCCATCAACCATATACATATGGGAATGTAGTACGTGTTATCTATTGAAATTGCAAATGTTATTTCCATTATAATCATAGCAACAGACTAAGTGCAACACAATTACTTTTATAGACCACCGGGATGGTGCCCTGCAGGGTGAACAGATCTTTATGGCTTCCGTCGTTGAACACTGGGCAGGGGGAAGACGGGGAACATCGTTAATTTGATGCTGTGCTGTTATCAGGCGAGGTGGATGCTTACCAAACTTTTGCAGATCGTAGGTCAGACTTCGGTACGTTGTGACCACATCCATAACGTCCTTCTTCGTGACGTCGACATATTTATACTGCAACCAAAAAGGATACACGTCGTTTATTGCGTTGCATGCGAAATTAGGCAAACAAGTTTCCACAGAGTAGGGAGATGCCCCACCATGACTCATCTGCGTCACCATACCTTGGATAGAAATTTTATTATCTTAGCTTCCTCGACAGCAGGCATTCTAAACTGAGACTGGGGGCACAAATTTGCCCGCTACACCTGGCCCAAAATCGTTTTACTTTGAGAATTTTATACGAAATTTGCTGAACAAAAACAAAAGTGTACAACCGATAGATGTCATGCGAGCACTTTTGGATCTATCGAGTACTAATACTATCAATTGGGCCAATCGATGTATGCAACTATCGGCAAAAGCCGTTGAGCTCAAAATGAATGGAATATGGAATTTGGGATCATTTTTTATTTTGTGCATTAAAATCTACAATTATATTATGCCAAGTGATATGTTCAATTTGTTTCTTTGTGTTGGTGCTGGTCGTGCATGAGATGGGCTGTTACTTTCTCTTGCACATTTTGTGGCTTCTGTGGTTATCGCGTCTGAAATCAAACAGATGAAAAGGAGTTATGAATCGTAGTAAATAAAAGTACTCGGGCATAGAAGAGGCTCAATTCTTGGTGTCTTAAACATATATAGCTTTATTTGAATACTTTCTCTCACTTCTCTGTTCGTTCATCTCTCATATAGGCATTATAATATATTACGTGTGTGGTTCGTTGTGTGTGGTGTGTTGTGTGAGTGGGGATTGTGTGTACTTAACCAATTGTTCAGTTAACTAGGCATTACTTTAGGTATTGTTCATGTTTTTACTCTTTAAATATACTTTATATAAATATGTATTTTTTGTTTTGTTAGTTTATATGTTTATAAAAGTTATCCCTCTCCTCTCCGCTCCACTGATCATCGATAATCATCCGATTCCATTCTACTTTCCACTTCTTTTTTCAGCCATTGTGTGTCATTGCACTCGTTCTTTCGTTTATGTCTGTCTCTTTCTGTAGTTGCTGCAGCATCTGGTTAGTTGAGTTTTTCGTTAAATTGCGGATTACACATATATAAAAAATAACTCTTATGGTAATTCTTAACTCTTGCACGCGTTCGTTCTCTTTCTTTTCTGGGCTCTACTACTACGGGGCATACACACTTATTCTATGGGAGGGGGGAAAAAACCATTGTATAGTTTCTCCCGGTTCTCATTTATGTATACTATATATCGTAATCATACTGTTTTACTCGTAGTTATTTTTGTGCTATTTTGCATTACTTTTTATTATTGGTTCAATGGCGCAGCATTTTCTTCGTTCTCTCTTTCTGTTTTTGTTGAGTGCATTGTATGATAAATCGTTAAAAACCATTATTAAAATGTAGGAAGGGATTCGGAGCTAAGTAAATTAAAAAAGTCATGAAGGGGCTTTCACATTGTTTTTCTGTTCGTTTTCGTTTTCTCTTTTTTGGTTTTGGCACATTTGCTGCAATTCGTTTGTTTGCCATGGTACTACAACAAGTGTTCTTCGATCTGCACGTAAATCTCTTCATAAATAATTATACATAGTTCGTATGCTATAAGAAATTGCTGTACAACAACAAGTGAAGCGCGTGGGTGTGTGGATCGTAGAGCGTAAATATAATAGATACATATATGTACTCGTATATGTTATCAAATTTTATTGAATAGCGAGCGATGTGGATGTGGATTGTGTTTGCACTTGGGTTTTGGAATTTGGGTTTCGGGTGTGGGGGTAGGTTGGTGCGGGGTGTAGAAAACAATAAACAATCAAAGAAAAACTCTATTTTCAACAACTTCACAAAAGTATCAAAGTATATGTGGATCATTTCTAATTTTTCGTTTTTAAGAAATCTTCTTTCAAGTTTAGACTCTTTAGTTATTCTCTATCGAACAATTATTTACATGTAAATAAAACTCTATTTTTGCCATCCGGATTAAGTTTTACACTGTTTTTTTTTGTCTCAATTTGTTTCAGTAAATTGTTTTTAAGTTCAACTTGTGAAGTCTCGATACTTGACGTAGAATTCTATTATTTGAGTTAATTTTAAATAAACTTGAATCTAATTTACTTTAAATTCTATTTCATTATAAATATTCCTTAAATCATCTTGTCTTCAGCTGTTTTGGTAAATCAATATTGCAAAGATAAGAATCGGGACAAATTTTTTGAGAATGTATCTATTTCATCATCAGATGGTACGGAGCTTGACATCTGGAATTTATATTCTATTTTATAATCCATTAAATGCAGGAATTATGCTCCTTATTGTTGAGCCTTAGATATATATTTATTTTTTGGTTGGCAGATGCAATGTCTGATGCGACTGTGATTCAACAGAATACAAACACCGTCTTGATTAAACAGGAATCTATCATGAAATTCTGGGTGTCTTAAAAGAATTATCGAATCATACATGTCAATGTAAACCCCTGCATACAAACCAGATTGACCACAAAAGAAATGTCCAAGATTCATACATGAAGTATTTAAGGAAAGAAGAGAGGGACGAGGAAGAAGGGACTGGGGAAAGTGGTGTTTAAAGAAATATTGTTCGTTCCAGATGTCAAGCTCCGTACCATCTGATGATGAAATAGATACATTCTCAAAAAATTTGTCCAGATCCTTCCACTGTCTAAAATTGCTTAACAGAACAGCTGAGGCAGTTCGCCGTTCTATGGTCATCCTGTTGGACAAGCAATTTAAAGATTTGTATAAATACTTCAAATTTGTTTGTCCAATATGCCCTCCCTGACTCTGACTCTTTAAATCTGCTGGGTCAGGAAATCAATGGAAACAACCAAAAAATGTTGGACATCGAAAAGAAGAAGGCCCAGCAATATGCTCTGAAATGGACAATCCATTAACTGCAGAATCCAAAAACATCTATGGAAAATCTGAGATTAACCAGTTAGCAGGTCTAAATTCTGACTCATTCAAATTCTGACTGTCCTGAACATATATCTTAAACTCAACAATAAGACGCATAATTACTGCATTTAATAGAATAAAATGTAAAGAAAAAAAAAAGATTTATAAGAAAAATAGTTCGTGCAGGGGGGCTGGGTTTGGAGGTTCTTTTCGGGGGTTTCGTTATTAAATATTTCCATTATTAAAATGTAGAAAATAAATTTGATCTAAAATGTCAGTCTATTGCGCAAAATCTACTTTTGACGTGATTTCTACCCGATTTTCGCTTAGTTTTTGCTTATGCCTTTGATTCTTCTTTTCTTTAGTATTTCATATACTCGTAAAAAATTCCCTAATATATATGTATGCATCATGTGTATCGTATCGTTAATTCAACCCAATCGTCGCGGTGATTGCGTTGCGATCCAATCCAATCCGATCCGATCTGATCCGTGCTGACATTAAATGTTAGCCCGAGGCTCGATGAGAGACGCGCGACCCGACGCGATGCGTGACGTGACGTGCTGGGGAGGATCGGTGTCCCGCGGCAACGGGCGTCACACTGCTATTGCTACTAATGCCTACTCAATGGCTAGGTCTACATCTACTTAATGGGTAGGTAGGTGGGGTGGGGCGGGGCACTTAACCTAGCTTCGTGTATGCGTAGGCGCAGATCACGCCCACCACCACACCAGCCGCAATATATGTGAGTAATGACCTTCCTTTTTTAGACGCCTTCTGGCCGTCCTCGCTCTCCCGCAGCTTCCGTTTCATGTTGTTGATTTGCTTCTGCAGATGGGCTTGATGTTCGGTGCGTTTTCGTCGCTTCAGCTCGTTTTCGGGACTAAGAAGGGAAAGAAAAAGGTTAGGGCATTGTCCCACAGTGGTTTCCATTATCATTTGAATTACCTCGCTGGGGTCTGGGTCTGTCCCACTGTGTCAATGCCATTGGCCTTGTGCTGTTCGGCTGGCGCTGGCTTCTCGCTGTTGGCATTCACATCATCGTCTTGGGGCGTCGTTGTCGATACATTGCCATTGACGGGCTCCACATCGATCTCATTGATGGTCTCGTACTCCTCGTCATCGTCATCATCATCATCGTCCTCATCCAGGTCGTAGTCCTCATCGCTATCCGACTCCTGCGACGCCGGCAACGGCGGCAAGGGACGCAGACTGTCGGCCACCTCAGCGTTGATGATCTCGTGCTGATTGATGAAATTGTTCTGAGCATCCAAGGGCTTGTCGCCAATATTATCGGCAGACACCTCCTCGCCATTGGACTGGACGGCGCGCATGTTCAGCGAGAGCACTCCGCCCGACTTGGGGGCCGGCGGCAACGTCAGCGAATATGAGCGAGGCGGCAGCGGTGGCGGCTTCTCATCCTGTGCATGCGCATCTGCCTCATTGCCAATGATTGGTTCCTTAGCGTCGAGAAAGGTCTGCAAGGCGACAAAGGAGAGAGGGAAATTCTCGGGTTAGTCTAACGCCAAAGCACAGAGAATCTCCACTGTAAACGGCGGCGCTTGGCAGCGGACTGGCACCCAGCATCCAGCGTCCACGTCCAGCTCCCGCACGCCGGCCGCTGAGAGCGCATACATACGGGATCGTTCAGCTTCTTGATGCCCTCTATGATGGCCTGATAGGAAAAGTCCAGCTGGTCGGATGTCTGTATCAGTCCCATGCGGTAGCTGCGCAGCTCGCACAGCACCTGCGACACATTGCACTCTCCGTGTTTGTCCACGAGCACAAGGCAACAGTCAACCAGGCAGAAAGTGCCCGAGCGACCAATGCCGGCGCTGCAGTGCACCACGGCCGGACCGACGTCGTTGCTGAGGCAGCCAGAGTCACGTACTTGCTGCAAGAATTTCAGGAATGCATCTGGCGAACTGGGAATGCCAAAATCTGGCCATGTGACGTAGTGGAACTGCATCACCTCGCGACTCTTCTGCGTTTCGAGATCGGTTAATCTGTGTGCGGGGCGATTTTAATTGATGAATTTTCACTGCTTTAGGGGTTATTTTATCTACTCACTTGAACCACCGCCGCACAAAGTTCTGGTACTCCTCGCAGCGCACAAGCTCCACGGTGAGGAGTTCGTCCTTCAGCTTGAGGGCCTTCTCCGGTCCGAACTGATTGGGCCAGTACTGATGGCATTTGATCTGCTTCTTCTCCGTCACCTTGTTGAGCATGAGAATGGCGATCGACTTTTGCTCCCAGACCATCAGCCAGAAGTGGCCCACAGTATCCTCCAAGGGACCCTGAGTCAGTATGTACTGACGATCGGCACGCTCCAGCTAACGAAGGATGTAGAAATCTCTCCTAGAACTTTGTTTGAGTAGCATTCAAATGACTGCACGTACCTTCACCAGATTGGCATTGATGTAGTCCACATTGCCGCGCTTTAGGACAATCCGCGAATGATCATAGGGATTCACATCCCTATAGCGATTCAGGCCTCGGTTCTGTGATCGCTCCGATTCCAGCGTACTGAACTGTTGCTCTTTTGCCCCGCGATCGCATTTCTCTGAGATTTCCTAGAATTCGAAAATTGAGCGATTAGAAATGATGTCTTAGCATGTGCCGGACACAATAAAAAGTGCCGTGACCATTAGCACGGCAGACAGACACATGCGGCATCTGAGCTTTCTTTCATGCAAAATGTCTAAAAATGAATAACGACTAGAGACTGTCTACAGCAGAAAACCAAATCTGACATTCCTCAAGGAATCAGAACCAGCATTGGACAGCACCGAATCGTAAGCAAATACAGAATTTAATTAAGTCACGTGAAAGATATTCAAATTATGTACTACATGAATGTATAACACAATAACCGACTCATCACATTCTTTGAGCTGATTTCGAATATTCCACAATATTCCATATATTGTGTTTCAACAGAAATCAAATATCTTTTATCATGGGGGGTGGGGTGGGGGGGGTTGCCCCATGGCAACTGACTCATCCCACAACGTCAGCCACATATGTACATGCACATTTGTATCCAAGCAGTGGGCCTAGAGGCTAGCAGGCCTAACCCTGCACCAATGGCACCCAACCAGACAAATAGACAGAGGCATGGTACGGAGGCACCCACCCAGCTGACAAACCGGCCATGACTAATTAGCCCAGCAACGATGGCTGCCCTGACTGTTGTTAATGGCATTATCTTTGGCCGCTTTGGCTGCTTGGAGCCGGCTTTATCAGCCGAATGTGTGCGTAAGTGTGTGTGCATGTATAATTGCTGGCACAGCTGTAAACCGCAGCGCGCCCCAATCGAACCATGCGGCAGCAGCGTCAAACAGCACAGCAAACAGGGTCAATGGCGCCAATCCATGCGGTGACAAGTGCATCCCAAGCTTCGCTTATGGCATATACGAGTGGATCAGCATATGCTGATGGATGCTTGCTTAGTTTGGCATTCCATATACGCGTATTCAGCCGGCACGGCACTTACTCCATCAAAAATCTGCTCCATCCATGAGTAACTCGTTGAATGGGTGCCCCGCCTCGCTCTCGATGATAACAGCTCGCCAAAAAGCAGTTGTTAATTGTCCATTGGTCACTGTGGTGGGAGTGTGAATCAGCCGAGGGCGCTGATCAGCAGGGATCCATTGATTGCATGTACTTTTCCTCTTATGAAATACTTTTGGACTCTCTTACGCAATCAGCTGAAGCCACGATACAGAGCATTGTCCGATAAGCAGAATATTTCAATTGAAATATTAGAGGCACAAAAATGCCCAATGGGGATTCCCGATTGTCACAATAATTGATAGTCCTTTGGGAAAGAAAGTTTACGGCACTCGGATCAAAACGGAAATGAATGCAATGAATTCATATGCATCATTTGTATCACTTTTATTATAAACAGATGTATGATTTATCGCATGTCACGTGAGAATATGTGAGAACGAGTCTCGGAAATGCGAAGTTCATGATATCGAATGCGGAAAAAAAAAGTCGAAGCTGATGGAAATGAAAATAATATCTCATTCTATAAACTAGATATAGCAATATACTTATAGAGTAATTTGTTAAATTAAGAAAGCGTATTTGCTACCTTTAAGTCCGATATCTATCTAACTCTGGGAATCTCTACTATACCCTCTACACGGGTATATCCTACACTCTATTATTCAATACATATTTTCTACTCAATCTTTCCTAACCAACTTCAGATTTGCCATATTTTGTGGACAGCAGCAACAGTTATTTTATGCTTCTTGATTATCCAGGTGACCCTTCCAACGTTTACAGCTACACATACACAAACACGCGAGCAGCATTGAGAAATACCAGGAGGGGAGAGAGAAGTACATGGGGTCTTGGATTTCCAAAGCGTGCAAAGAATTGTATTTCTCGAAAGAAAAGCCAAGCAAAACAAAACAAAACAAAAAGCGTTGCATGCATGCAGAGCATAATTGCAACACGCCCCCGTCCACCAGCACCCTCCCCACACGTCACACTTGATGGCGGTTGTCATAATGGAAGGAGGGGAGAATGGATGAGTGAATGCGGCGGCCTGGCAAGGTGTAAGCTGATAACTGGATGGGGATCCATCCCGACGGGACACAGAGAGAGAAACATAACGGGAGTAGAGTGCGTTCAATGGAAATAATTATACGCCAAGTGCGCAAAAAAGCAAAACAAAAAGTTGAATGCGTCATTTTTTTAATGGTATTTTATGGAATATTTCAATAGAAATCTCATCCGTGGAGATGGGATGTTCAACCGAAAAACAATTTGTTTTGCGACATATAATTGTTGTTTGTGTTTGTTTTGGGGCAGGGGCGACTCCTTTCAGTTAGTTGGAAAATTAGATTATCCTCCGATGGGCACAAAAGGATGCCATTGCGAGGCCACAAAAGAAGTTACACACACACTGACACGGCGCAGCTGAATTCCATGAAATCCCAATTCAAGTGAGTGCCTGGCCTGGCCTGGCCGTGGCAGAGCTCTGCTCTTCCAAGCAGGGGCAGCAGCTGAAGACACATTTCCCCGGAACTGGCTATAAAGCAGAACTGCCAGCAATGAACAAGAAGAAGCAGCAGAGAGGAGCAGAAACAGCAACAAGAAGAAACCCAAAGAAAGACTCAAAACCAGACGCATGCCCTTTGTGCCCCTTGGCGAGAGATGCGTGCGAATAGCTCCCAAGTGGAAAAAAGCTAGTGACGCCCCTCTCTCCCCACTCATGCGTTGCGATAAAAACAAGCTTGTCAAAGTATCCTACCCCCTCCCTCCCCATCACTTAACTCCTATATCAACAAACGTCCAGCAATCAAAACAAAGCAAAATGCAAAAACTGTTTCCTGGAAAAACCCGCCTTTCAGTTATGGGGCCCCGAAATTCGCGGAACCAAACCCCAATATTCTAGGGGGAAGAGGCCTATCAATAATAATCAGAAAGCGAAAATAAAAAACAACACGAGAATTCGGCTGATCGTAAAAGTTGCGAGGGGGGGCAAAACAGAGGTGTAAAAAATGGGGAGCGCTGGGAACAGCATCTCTCAAAAAGAGAAAAACACCAGAAAAAGCATAAATATGCACTCTACACACCACGCAAGTACTGTTGTCTGAGCTGCAGTGCAGCAGGTGAGCAGAGCTGTCACTGTAGCTGCATATGTACGGTGAGAATCTGTTTGTATACTTTGTTTTTTTTTTTTGGTCAAATGCTGTTTGAGCCAGGTTGGGACCACTTATAACCAACACATGCACACTCGCACAAAGCAGAAGCCTTTTGCGCACTCATCACATTTTCGTGGAAATCGAAGAAAAGGAATAGTTTGTGTGTACACGTTTGCGACTCCTGCCTGCCCGCCGCCGCTGCTACGGGCATCCACCATCCTGGTGCCCCCAAACACATTGCTTTTCTTCACTGTTTTTTTCCACTGGTGCAATTATTCTCGCTGCAACAGCAACAGCAAGCAGTAGCCAGTGCCTGTCATTGCTGTTGTTGTTGTTTTTACCTTGTAGTAGCGATGCCAGCCCGATCCAGTCTTTTTATTGTTGTATTCCGTTTCGATTTTCTGCCTGGCGGCCGCGTTATCCTTTGTGCTCGTTGGGGACGGCGACCCACTTGTTTTCTGCTCACTCATAGTGCACTGTTGTTTTCTTTCCTGCGTTTTAATTTTACTTTTAATTTGGAGTCCAGGCGGCGTGGAGTGTGACCGCGGATTTATTAAAATTTTTGACGAATAAATACGCTCAATGTAGGGTTGTCAAAAATATATCAAAATATCGAATATATCGATATTTTTTCAGTGATATATTTTAAATCATTTTGATATTTAAAAAAAAAAAAATATCATTGATATTTGACAACCCTAGCTCAATGGCGAGTTGAAATTTGATTGCGCCGCAAGGATAAGGGTATGAGGTGTGAAGTATGACGTCACAAAATCCAGAGCTTTCAAGAAAAATACCCACCTCACCACATAACTCACCGTGCGGGATTTTGTGCTTTCGCGAACGCATGGTATATTTAGTCCGTCGGGGCTAGGGTGAGGTCCTTACGAGGCCCTTAAAAAAAGTTTGGCCGTCTTAATACTGGGGCAATACCTTGCTATGACCCAGTCGAAAGAGAGCACTCAAAACGCTCTCCGGACTCATTTCTGCGTTTAAATTTTGAGCCAATATCGATAGTATCGAACTATTGCTGCTAGCCTCTACTATCGATGGTTTTGAGACTAGTATTGAGCTACAATAGTTAGTTCTGAAAAATATCGACTCTTATTATAGTCGGCGACAAAAATATCGTACAGTTCCCTGTTATTTAATAAATAAACATGATTTCTCGCGTGTTGTTTCGTTTAATCCATGATAAACGCCTGAGCGTCCCCGTTTTGAGATGCTTCCACCACGAGTTCTCCAAGCCCCCAACGGAGCCGTCTAAGGACAAGTCGCAAGAGAATAGGAATCCCTTCCAGAATCTTGTCGGCGGCGTGCAAAACAAATACAAAGTTTTCCGCGATGATGAGGCACCTGAGATTTTCGATGTGGAAGAGGCACGCCACAAGGAACAGAATCTGCCAGATGAGTCGGACGCAGCTCAGGATCAGTACTACGGCTTGAACCTAAAGAGTAAGTGGTTGCATTCACAACGAATCTAAATGACGGATAATTCCCCCGCGCAGGAGGAATTCGTGGAGTGTTTGATGTTGAGGACTTGGTGGAACTGCTGCGCAAGGAGAATGTAGACGATATTTTCGTATGCTACGTGCCCGAGGATCTAAAGTATGTGGACCATTTGGTGGTGTGCAGCGGACGCAGCTACCGACACATGATTTCCACGGCGGAGTTTGTGCGTCGCATGTTTAAGATCAAGCGCAGCAAAGGTGACATTTTGCCCCGCATCGAGGGCGACAAGAGTCGCGACTGGATGGCCATGGATTTGGGTCAGTCTCTGAATCTGATTATCCGCATACCCTAGCTAAAGATTTTTGACTATTCTTTTCAGGTAACATTGCATTGCATATATTTTCACCAAGGGCCAGGGAGGAGTATGATCTGGAGTCGCTGTGGGCCATTGGCCCCCAGTACGATCGCGAGAGCCAAAAGCCGCACAATCCCTATGGCGATTTGTTCATGGCGCAAACCCCTCGTCCAGTCGAAGAGCAGCAAAGGGAAGAAACGATGAAATAGTTTGGCATAGGAGAAATACACTGCAATCACCAGACCACAGCACCATCTGAGATCTTTTTGTGGAAGTCGTACAGGCTGGGAAAGACATGGTCACGGTCGATATCCTCCCCGTACTTCTTCACCAAGTACGAGTAGCTCTTCTCGTGCACCAGCGCCGCATGCCAGCCCACGCCTTTGGCGGCCAGATAGTCTGTGGTTGGGCCATCGCCCACATGGAGGCACTCCTCCGGCTTGAGGTTCTTTAGACCCGACTCCTTCATGGCCCGTTGGAATATCACTGGGCACGGCTTTTCCGCCTGCGCCTCGTACGAGGTGAGCGCAAAGTCCAAGTATTGGTCCAGTTTGGTGTTCTGCAGCAGCGCCGGCAGACGGGGATCAAAGTTAGCTATGACCCCCAGCTTGCATATCTCCGGCTTGAGCTCTTTGCGCAGATGCTGCAGCAGCTCCACGCTGCCATTGCAAGGCTGCCAGCAAATGGAGGTCTTGTACAGCTCCAGCAGATGGTTGGAGAAATTGGTCAGCTTCTCGTCTTTGATGGCAGCTCCACTCTCCGAGAAGGTACCTGTCGGTCAACCGGACAAACGGATGATGATCATGAATTAGTAATGTGGGGGGCCATCGAGAGTAGTTTGCACTTTGGAACAAGCTGTTTCTGGTTTATCACCCCACAATAACAGGCTGGAAAACACTCGACACAGACACTGTCGCAGTCACACACTCACCTGCTATCAGCTGACGCCACCACTGCTGCCACTCCAGCTGTGGCTTTGTGTCCCGTCCAAAGTTTGGATAATCCCGATTCATTTTATACCTGCAAGAGGATGATTTCCCATTACTTGGATAGTTGGATGAGGAGGAGAAGCTGTATACCAGTTGGCCTTGAAATTCTTGGCCAGTTCATTGTTATCACATCGCGCTCCGAATAGAGCTCCAATCTCGCCATACTGCTTGCCGGGACTCGTGCGAAACTGTAGCAACGTGTTGGTCACGTCGAAGGTTATGAGACGAAAACGGTTCAAGCTGCGCATCTCCGTGCTGGTCTGTGGACTGTCCTCAACAGAATATCGACTTGGCTTTGGACGCACGCTCTGTTAGACGATCTTTCGCGAATGAAATCTCCCGGCGTACTACGTGAGTTGCTGGCTGTTATTGTTTTGTATATCACTTTCAATGACTGAAAGCCGATCCGATGCGTTCCGTTCCGCCGCCCGCTTCCATTCGAGTCGTCAGAGTGGCGCTTATCAGCTAATAGCAGCAAAGCAGCTGCGAAACATTTGAAATGCTGCCTCTGTGTTGGGGCCACTGTACTGGATTGTATTAACAGCAGTGGGGTTCGTTCATTTCGTGGCCCCACAGGGATGATGTGCTGCTTATCGTGGGTGTCGTTGGTGTCATATTAGTATTGACTTGCAATCTGCACTGATTACTTGCCTGTGCAAACATCATTATAATAGATAGTACATAATCGTAATTTCCCTATCAGCATTCGCTGTTGCTGCTGTTGCTGATCTTTCGTGTAAATTTTAATAGTGCGCGGCGCAGAGTTCATTCATGGTTTTAAATAGAGCCTAGGTGCGAAGCTCAAAAATCGCTTACTTGCGTTTAGCATCATAAGAGATCTCCTCATGTATTTAACGGACAAACGCAATCATTTTAAGCTTGGCGCCATGTGTGACGCCCAACAGCGCCATCTGTAGAACTTTAATTGCAGTAACTCAGTTGTCACTTTTTCCTGAAAGAGGGCGCTACTATTCGATTTGTATGGATATCGAAACGTGGCGGGCATTTGAATATTGTATGCGTATGGGAATCTACTGAAACGAACAAAATGGGTGTCCGAGGGAACTATGGCTTGGCGCTAACCTTTAATCTTATCTCTTTTGAAAAGGTATTGGACACTATCCCAAGAATTGGCTTCACTGCACCCCGTCTGCATTGGCATTTGCCAATTCGAATCGATGTCGCTATAAATAAATCACCAATTTGCTTTTTGGCCACAAGGCCTGCTTAAGTTCTGGTTTCTATGGAAGGGCGAGGGTTGGCTTGGGTCCACAAATTCCACACACATTCCAGTTGTCAAGCTCGACTCGTTGTCGAGGCTGCGGTAAGGGTTTCTTCTTGTTTTTGTCGAAAAGGAATTTCTAAAGATTCCACTCTCAGAAATTGATAATGCCATTAAATACATGTATCAAATAATTCCAAGCCGATTGTATCTTTTGGGGCTGGACAAATGAAAGAAAGACAAATGCGGGATGCAGGATAGAGGATGTGGGCAGTGGAATTTAGTTTAAGGACACTAAAGTTGTGTCCATCGATGCATAAGTAAGTCCTTATCCATTAATTACTAATCACTTGCCACCTACCTGGTTTATGTGCTCTGCACAGCGCCACCTTATCGACCAGGCAGCAGGCAAAATTCAGCTACTCTCCGACCGTCCCTACCCGTCCCGTCCCGTATCCAACTTTCAACGAAAAACTTTCCCAAGAAAAGTAACCAGCCAAAGCGAGTCAACGACTCCCATGGAATTTCGTGTTGGCCCTTTTCGAAATGTGTCTGGCAGTCGGGGCCCAAGCCCCATCGCCTCCACCCCCCTACTCCGCAGTCGCTCTCGGCCTCCACAGTCCATGCAACTTGGGGCTGGCTGCCGCTGCCTCACTGCCTGACTGCCTTTTAATATTATCTGCACTTTGGGTCTTTGGCTGCCGCCGCCGCTTTTGTTGTTGTTGTTGTTGTTGTTGCTGCTGCTGCTGCTGCTGTTCTTGTTGCTTTGATTGGTCGTTTTAACCTGTTTGCGAATTTCTACCATGTTAATAAATAATTTTTAGAGGAGTTTTTAGAGGAGTCGACCGAAACGGCAGCGGCAGCAAAAGTACCGCACCAGCAGCAGCAGCGCCAGCTCCATCGGAGAAGCTGCTGCCTGGTGCCTGCTGCCTCTGATGATGCTGGTTCTTGGCACGACAACTCCTCGTTCCATCCCATCCCATTTGGAGTCGGATTAGGTTTGGCTGCTTCTACTTCTACTTTTCCTTCATCTGCTGCTGCTGCCTCCATCCCAACCCAACCCATCCCATCCCGTTCGGTTCTGTTTGGTTTCTGTGTGACTTGGAATGCAGCCAGACAGCCACCGCTGTCGTCTCCCGTCTCCCGTCTCCCATCTCCCACTCCCCACTGCTCGCCCACTCCTCCATCTCCATGCCAGTCTACCTGTGGCATGGTGGTGTCTCCTTTTGGCGCTGCTGATAATGCGAGTACTCTGCCAGCACCTCCGCCACTGGAGAACTAAGTTTATCAGAGAGTTTTGGGGATTTGCAAATGGGAATTTTAGGGATCATTGTTGGAAGAGGATTGTAATTGGGATCCATCTCCAATCTATTCGTCCCTGAGTTTAATTTTACAGAGCGCATATGTATGTGCGCCTGCCTGCCGCACTCTGCCCACTCTGGGGCATGACCACATCCACTTCCACTTCACATTCACAGCTCCATCTTCGGAGAGTGCAACAAGAGCAACAACTTGATGGTGTTCTTGTTTGAAATTCCTTGCCTGCTTTTTGGTTTATTTTGTGTTTTGCTCAGCGCTTCGCATCGTCGTCGTCGTCGTCTCTTCGTCTTGTTCCTCTACATACCCATACCCATCCACATCCACATCCCTTTCCATTCAATTTGTGCCCCATCTTCAGCTTCGCCTCCATCTCCATCTTCCGTCTTGGTCAGGTCAGCATCTTCTTTCGTTCTTCGTGGCTCCGTTTGTGGCTGTGGCTGTGGCTCTGCTCGTTTGTTAAATGTTTGGGTTTTGTTTGAGTTTATTGAGTGAATTCCTGGAAAAACGCAGGAATTTGTCTTTGGTCTTTCAGTTCTGTTTTTTTTCCCTGCTCCGCTCTGCTCTGCTCTCTCTCTCTCTCTGTTTCTCTTTAGACCGTTTCGATGCACTGACGCTGTCGATGTCATTGGTGCATAAAAATCGCTTTACGGCTTTTTGAACTTGGTGTGTCCGTTCCCAAGGTGTCTGTACGGGTTTGGGATGATATGGGATGGACAGGTGATTATGACTTTTTTAGCAGGACACCCAATTACGTGTGTAGCCAGAAACCAGCCCCGAAACAGCATGATTCTGATCGGCAGCCAAATCGGTAAAGATCAACGGCAAAACCCCCTTCCTGGGCACTGGGGAGTCTCCTTTGAGGCTGATGGGAACTGAACTGATTTTCAATGCGAAATTTAATACCTCATTGGAATGCAAAACTTCTTTCAGCTTTAGCTTCCACATACACATTTCTGTCATTGATTTACTTACAGTACTATTCTTAATGGGTTTAGCGAGAACCCTTCCAAACATTTTAGACTGTCCGGTACTGCTAGATCATAGAGCATGGAAGAGCTGCCCCATACCCTCTTCAAGTCCCACATCCACTCAAAAGAATATATATTTCAATCTACCATTGATTCAATTGGGAAACCCTTTAAAGGAGCTAAACTTTTGCTGATGATCTGATGCCCCACAATCTTTGATCTTTTCCTATTCTATCAGATTTGAGTAGTTTCTTGGACTGAAATGTAGGTTAGAGCACTAAAGGAGAATGTTTTATGGTATGGGAACCCCAATGGGGGAAGTGTTGGAGGGGAGAGTATTTATTTCAGTTCCGGTATTTTATTCCTAAAATAGAAAATTCCAGCTTGATTTTTCCTTGTTTGTTCCTAAATCACTGAGATGAGATCTCTGGCATCGTTGGGGATCGAAGATACACATCCAATGCCATCCCCTCACTGTTCTGCTTGCTGCTGTTGCTGTTGCTGCTGCTGCTGTTCCTCAATGGTTTCCAAAAATAACGGAAATGGATGAAAATCCTAAGAGAGATTTGCTATTTTCGAACGATGATTGAGTTGTAATGATTTGGGGGGGGGGGGCCCATGGACATGGGCGTACAACACATTGATGGTTCTTCCGCCCTATATGGAATGCATATGTGCCACAACAGAATGTTTGTCTCTCAGTCAGTCTCTGTCTGTGTCTGTGTGTGCCACAAACTTCGGCTGCATTCCTGGGGCCAAGCAGCGTCGGGCGCACTAGGCATTCCCAGACGATGCTGCTCCCCGCCAGCGAGAAAAGAAAGCACCATGCCACCAGGCCAGGGAGGGTGGTGGGATGAAACGTGTTGCATTTTGTGGCAGGGGGGAGTACGGACAAAGCGCCCCCTGTAGAACTTTAAATAAAACTTTTGCGCTAGAGAGAGAGAGACAGGGATGGGGCTAGGGAGAGGGAGAGCGAACATTTGTTTGCTTTGTTGGATTCTCCTTTGATTCTCCGCTGCTCTTCTTGGTCTCTGCTTGGTCTCTGCTTGGTCTATGATTTTCTTTTCTTTTGCTTTCTTTTCGCCTTTTTGCCTTTGCTTTCTCGTTGGCTTTTTTTCCGCTACTTTTAGATGCCCGAAAAAATGTTGCCATTGCAAGTGAATCCGAATTTGAATTTAGGAATGATCTGTTATGTATGTACATACATATGTACATCAGTGTGTATGTATAAATACGACCCAACACCCAGCACCAAGCCATGTCCCGTCGCAGTGCGGTAGGGTACGAGGCGCTGCCCACCTCCACCACCTCTCTCTATCTCTGTCTCTCTGTCTTTCTGCCACACTCCCTTTGCTCTCCGCTCTTGGTCGCATACGATTGTGTACCCTTTATGGCAGAGGGTATTATGATTTTGACTTGATTTTTGCAAGCGGAAGCAGCTTCCATCGTTGATCCTAAAGATCACATATTTTATAACAAAATCTGCATATATATTAGTAGGTGGATCGTTGGGAATTTACCTGCCATATAGTCGATGGATCTTCAGGGGTATCTAACGCCTTAGTCCCGATACAAATCTGTCTGTTCGTATGTATATTTGTGCTCTTCAGGTTTGTCCATTACTCAAAGAAAGCTGCGGGAAGAATTGCCAAAGCTAGGGAGACGTTGACGTTGACGTGGACGTTGCCAGACAGTGTTTAATTGGTAAGTGTGTGCGTGTGAGATTAACAGACGAACCGCGTCACAGGGCTGCAGAAAACAGGCGCACGAAGGTGAATGTGGAATGTCTGTCAGATCGTGTCTGCAGCTGCCGACGCCTGGAAGTAGGCAATGGAATGGCAAGTCTGTTGCAAGACCCTGCAAGGATCAAGGCGGTCGCGT